TGGTACGACGAGCATTGGTCTTGTACTGAGTTAGCTTAAGGTTTCCTTCGCGATAGCGGTCATATGGACGAGAACTGACAGTCAGGCGTGGGTACAGCCCAGTAGTTGGACAGAGGCCTGCAGATAAGAAACAATGACAGTTCAACGGCCACGAAGCCGAGGGCGACGTAGACTGAAAGATAGGTGACCCATTTACGTGCGTTCAGGCCGTCGCTTTGTAAGAGCCATATTAGCCGTACCTTCGAGAAAAGGCGCCAGAAGAGAAGACCTACGTGATACGGGAATAAATCACCAGCATGCAAGCCTTCATCGCCCAGATGGCCAGAACAAACGAGTGCTCCGACACAAAAACCCATTTGCTTCCCTTCACCCGCTCAGCATAGGTAGCCGGCGTCAAATTCGCTATATCTTCATCGGTCATCAAATTCGAACCCCCTCCCGAGGCAACTTGATTTAGGGCAACACATAATAGCGTGTACCATAAGACGGCGAAGAGCATGAGATAGTCATCGACTTGAAGGTTGCGGATACCCAGTCGACGTATACGTGCGACACTATCAAGAGAAGGAAGTTAGCATCAAGCTGACAAAACGGCGCATCGCATTTTACAAGGCATGGTACTAACAATCGCAGAACAGTTCCCAATATCCCTACACCATAGAGCACCCATGTTTCCGTTGCAAAGCTCTTTGAAAAGTCCGGGCCTAAGCCTGACATGGTGTCGGACTTCAACCTGGTAACCGGAAAGAAAAAGAGAGGTTAGCTAAACAGGCAATCAAAGGCACCCATGTCAGGGACCATGGTGAGATAAATAAGACAAGCAAGGTACCGACATCGTGGAGAGATAAACTCTGGGTAAATCGGCTCATCGACTAGCGAAGACATACAACACCAGACGCCTGCCAGATTGGGGTTAAAGTCTGATTGCGCTGATAGAGGGGTTGGTTAAGTTAGTTGGCGATAATCAATCATGAAGTGAAGAAAGTATGGTTGATTGGATGTACATGACTGCGTGCATGAGTAGTTGTCCCGGAGGATTGGCAATGCTAGTTCCGTGGGCGAACCCCCGGGCCAGCCACCTGTAGCCAGGGCCCCGAGGACAAAACAACTCAATTAATGAGTAGATAATAATAATGACCCATGGCTCAAAAGATGTCCATACTGGCCAGTGGGGACACCAAGAGATGTGGACCTGCTAGGTATATTGAGACTACCGTGGAAGCATGGCACAATCGGCTAAGTGAACGAGGACGACATAAGATTGGCCGGGACCCAACAATGATCCTTTTCCAATCAGGGTTTCAAAAGTATGAATCAGCAAGATAATTGCCTTGTCAGCGTGCCTGGTTTAGCTCACGTCCTGGAATGAAGCAGTGGGATGGATTTAGTGTTTGCACGTTTGGCCATGCGAGCGCCACTGTCAAGATTGATTTGTTGAGAATTTAATCAATCAATCAATTTCGCTTCATCGAGCCCGGTCTGAAAAAGAAATTTTCTGTTGTTATGTTTGCAAGGTATGTATATTTGTGTATTTTGAAGTGAAACCTCTCAAGGTAACGTTAACAAGGTGACGACCTGCGCCGTCAGTGGAGAGTTAGCTTGATCTAAAACCTAGTGCTAACTCTAAATTGAGTTAGTGCTGATGGTCTTTTTCCTTTCTGATTGACACAAGCAGAACAGCTCCCATCCATGACCCCATCGTCCCACCTCCAGTCCGGAGTACTACCTCTCTAGTCAAGTCCCCTCCCTTTCTCGAATTTGGACTCTGGCCGATTCTGTGGTTCAGCCCCAGGTACTGCTCCATAGATTTACACCCGGATTCGCCGTCTTAGGTCGATCCTTCCCCTCAAGGGAGACAGTGCTTGCATCTGAGCGTGGTCGATCGTTTGCCTCAGATCTGTTCTTGAAAGAACTTAGGTACATAAGCAATTGGATACGTCTGCATAAGTGCATAGTCTGCAATTAAGTTCTTCAGACTCTGCAGAGTGCAGACTAACCATGGAGTACATACACTTGGCCAATTTAGTATCACCGACCGAAGCGATGTTGCCAGGATTCTTAGTCCAGAATCCTTGCATGCGAAGTAAAAAAATTTTCTAATCCCTGTCCTTTGTGGGTCAGGGGAAACTTCGTCGAAGCCGGCACTTCGCCTGCAATTTGCAAGCAATCTATCTAGCGTGCAATAATAGATTGCACTACTACTGTTCATTAATGTAGGCTTGCAACATGGCCGTGGCTGGCTGTCCTGCATCATTGCATGATGTTCCACAGTCCCAGCAGCGGTGGAGGCGACTTTCAGGTCTAAACTGACTGTGGAATCCGACCGCCCTTGCCGAGGAAAAGTGAGCATTACTGCGCCCAGAAAAGTATGTTTCCTAGTGCACGATCATATATGCTAATATGCTAGCCACCTGGTGCTAGCTCTCTTGACGCAGGCCTCAGCTGTTCCTGTTCCGATTTTTCTCTAGTCTAGACTCGAGTATGCGGGCATAGGACAAGCCTCCAACTATCAGTCATTATTATTGGTCGGCGGCTGATTTTGCCTGGAAATCACTGTCGAACACTCTACGGGGCTTCTCGGTCTCTGCGGTGATGGAAGGATTTGACGGTGTCTGAAGTAGAGAGACTATCTACGCCTCTCTAGCCTCTAAGCCTCCACCAGAAGGGCAGGAGTTTTTCCGATGACGCGGCGCATGCTCATTCATGCCTACCACCTGGCATTATTGAGAGTCGAGACTCATTAGCCATGGTAGTTTGACAGGCAATGGTGAGTCGGTTATTGAGTCAGTAGTGACCCGGCATAGGTGATCTCTGACCTGCACGCCATCGTTTTCATGATGCGCAATCACAGGATGATCCGGCATGAATTCCGACTTGAGAGGGCCCATAATGGCCCGATCGTTCGATATCGGTCGATGCTTAGCTTCCGGTGATATCGAGTAATTTCTCCGGCGTCTGGATGCTGTGGAATAACATGAAATGACGGATTTTTATCATTTCACATGAAACCCCAGGGCGCTATGGCTCAACGGCCGAATTCGACCGTGCTGTCGCCAAGTGGCCCCCGTTCTTAAATGCTATTTCAGAGAAATAAATCGCGCACACGAAGGAGTGAAGTGGACTCTCAGTATCAGGAATGCTAGATACATGTCTCTGATTCACGCCCCGTTGAGTATGAGTTTCAATAGTGCCATGACTAGGGGCTTAGCGAGAGGCCGGGTCCAGCAACCGACAGTTTCTTGGTTCTCCCAAATCGTCATTAGACTCTGGCAAGGTCGTATCCACGTAGTAGTAGCAGTGCCGGCGTACCTGACGATCTGTTTACCGTTGTTCTCATTCGGCGTCGAGAACGAAGAATAGATGTCCCACCAGCACTCGCGTGTTGCTTGACTTGGCCCCTTTACAGCGCTTCAATAGCGCCGGAGGTTGTATACCGGAATAGAACAAGAACAAGATTCTAACCTGCCATCCTACTCAGCGGATGATAATGATCATGATAACCGACGATGTTCCCAGCTCCACGTTCTCGACAGTTGCACGATATGCTGCAGCCTACCTATCCTAATGAGAGAGCTCCATCAAGCATATTAATAAAGGTCCATTGCAAGCTTGAATTAACTGACAGCTATATTGATATTGTTTCAGATTGACTAATAGCATGGCAGTTTAAGAGGCTGCTGCATGTTACTCTCGGTTCTATGATGTCCGAAGGATGCGTGGAAGTTGGAATAATGCCACTATTGATAGTCTAGAAATCAGCGGCGCATCCATCGGTACCTCCAAGCAAGTCAAGAGAGTTCACAGTGGACACTACTATTGCTCAACCTTATCGTTCAAAAGTTTCGGAATCAAAAGGCTAGTGTACGAAGTAGTGAGACAATTGGCCATTATTAGAGTCAACACCATACTACTGTAGCTGCTGGTGAGCACTCCGGTATATTTATGAATAGTATATTGTTGTCATAGTATTTCCACTACTCCGTACTGATAACACTATTGTTCCTGATAATTCGGTCACAGGACACCGTCCAGACCTTTTGCGGAATTCCTCTATTGGCTGCAACTGGAACTAGGTTCCACGCAATATACTTCCCTGTGGCAAGGGCGAGCCACGGGCAGACCGTTTTGCCGGACCAGCCCTCTCCAGCTACCGAGTACCTCGCAGAAATCGGTCGTCTGCGGCCAGCATTCATAACAAGTTACGGACTCAACAAACTCTGTGAACAGCTAAATTTGGCATCGAGCGTCGGAGTCATTCCATTACTTCAGCGACAAACTTAAAGCGAAAGGGCAGTAGTCTGTGACATGGTTAATCGACTACTGCCCTGATCAAGGAATTAGAGCACGTGAGAAGCCAAGGGCCCAAGTGGACTTTTCCTTTAAACTACTGCATGCCTCAGGCTATGGGTGGCCATATGAATAATTTTACATACTACCTACGTACCTAAGTCTGCAGGTTTGTATGCAGAGTACATGCAGTCCACTTTTCAACTGAATCGGTTCCTGCCTGTACTCATTCACGACATTGCCCCAGATCACAAAGAAGATATCAAAAGTGTGGAGATAGAGATATCTACCTGTCCCATGGGGCTCGGTTCCTCCAAGTAGGACCAGTGTTTGACTACGATCTCCCATCTCAGAGGCCAACTTCGCCGAAGATATCTGGATAGAGTCTGCCATCTGCTGAAGCTCCCTCTTTAGGAAAAGGCATCTCGGCGTACCCCTGTACATTTCATACAAGTCTGTTGCAACCATGATTATCATTGACCAATCACCTATGTTTTATCTGTCCCGCTTTTGATCGTCTAGCCTCTATGAGGAGGTTATAGTGAATTTTGATTCGCCCATCAATGCTTATCCCTGCTGCACTAGATCTGACCCCACACTTAGCTGTAAATACAATACCAATACGACGAGGGTGGTGGACAAGGGTGTGTTCAACCGGCTTGTCCTCCAGGTATCCCTCAGGATATCGAACTACTATAAACTGCTGACGGCCGGATCGACGTCCAAAGCTGATGTTGGATTTTTCTCTCTTCATCCTCCATCCGGACGGCTTTGGAGGTGATATATGCCAGCACCGGTCGATATCCTCTCATAGTCGCCATCACCCTTACTGATCTGCAGTAATAAGAGCGCACCTCCACATACCCGTACACGTGCAGGACACAGCCAGTGGTATCCTGCCTCGCCTTCCATCGACTTGGTCATCCAAAGCTATCTTGATAATTCGCCTGTGCTTCGATCATAATAATACTCGTCTTCATCCGGTCGCTCTCCGGTCGGTTTCAATCCCCCCGTTTTTTGATGGCATCATCCGAAATGGCAGCGGTGGAAAACCCGGAGAAGATGGCTGCAGTTGAGGCCAGCGCAGAGGAACGCCCTTCGACCGAATTGGTCAATGCATCCGGTCATCGTCAAGAGCTCGAACGAAACTTCAGCTTGCTCAGTATTTGTGCCGTCGCTGTTACTACAGGAAACACATGGATTGCTCAAGGTGGCAGTTTAGTATGTTCATCCTTGGCGACCAATACTACCTAAGAGTTGAGCTAACGTGTATTTCAAGGTCACTGCTATGTATAATGGAGGACCAGCCGGAGTTATCTATGAATTGTAAGATCGCTTTGGATCAGTCAACATCAGTCGATACTAACCGGAGTTAAGCATTGCTGTTTCCGTCTGTTACTGGATGGTCGCAGCATCTATTGCAGAGCTCGCATCAGCGATGCCTTCTGCCAGTGGTGGTATGTCGCGACTCTGCTCTGTCCTATCTTACGAGCCTCGCTAATCCGGTAATCAGTCTACCACTGGGCCTCGATCACTGCTGGAAAATATGGCCGTATTTGCGGATTCTTTGCTGGATTCTGGAACTGTCTTGCATGGATCCTTGGAGCTGCCTCCATGTCCGCCATCTTGGGCCAACAGACTGTCTCCATGTACGCGCTTATGCATCCTGACTTCGTCCCTCACGCATGGCACACATTCATCAGCTTCATCATCTGCACCTGGATGTGCTGCTGCATTGTGCTCTTCATGAACCGCTTCCTCCCCCACATTGGTAATCTTGGCATGTTCTTCATTCTTGCCGGTGTGTTCATCACTATCATCGTCTGTGCCGTAATGCCTCATGTCAACGGCCAAGCATATCTCGACGATAAGACAGTGTGGCGCACCTGGAATAACCAGACCGGCTGGTCGAGCAACGGCTTTGTCTTCGTTGCAGGAATGCTCAATGGTGCTTACAGTGTTGGCACTCCCGACTGCTCTAGCCACCTTGCAGAGGAAATCCCACGGTAAGTCGATCTCAGTCAAGAGTTGAGTGGCTAGTACGCTAACCCGGTGCTATAGGCCCAGTCGCAACATCCCTAAGGCCATCCTTGCTCAGATGTCTGTCGGCTTCGTCACCGGTCTGCTCTATATGATCGCCGTCTTCTATTCCATCAATGACCTCGACCTGGTCATGAGCAATCCCTACGGTTTCCCCTCGCCGAGATCTACCGCCAGGCCACGGGTACTCGAAGTGGCTCCCTTGGACTGCTGGTCGTTGCCTTCCTGCCCACTGTCATCACATGTGCTGGTTGCTACATCACCGCCGGCCGTACCCTGTGGACCATTTCTCGTGATGGAGCGACCCCCTTCTCCGGCTGGCTCGGACGTATCAATACCCGGATGCACAACCCTTTCAACGCAACCCTAGTCTGTGGTGTGATTATTACCATCCTTGCTTGCATTTACGTCGGATCAACCACCGCTTTCAATGCCTTCGTCGGTTGTTTCGTGCAGCTGTCCTCTCTTTCCTACCTCGCCGCCATCCTCCCTCATGTCCTCACCCGCCGCTCGACCTTCCAACCTGGCTACTTCTGGATGGGACGCATCGGCTACGTCATCAATACCCTTAGCTCCATCTACATCATCGCCTTCATTGTCATCTTCTGCTTCCCCTACTCCATGCCCACCAGCGCTGCTACGATGAACTACGCCAGTTTGATGACCGGTGCTCTGACCATCTTCGTGGCCATCTGGTGGTTCGTCCGTCGGGGCTCCTACGAAGGACCCAAGAACATTCCTCTGACCGACAAGGCCATCCTGGACGACGCGAAGTAAATGTGCGGTCCGAAAAGGTCAATGCTGGCATCGGATATTCTGACATTGTTCCATGAAGTCACAACGCGATGGTTCTGCCTTTCTCTCTGCAGTTATCTGCCTTCCTCTCTGCAGTGTATCGGCGATGATATGAGTGAATATTTTGGTGCGACTCATGATCTATATGTATTTTAATTCCCGTTCAAAAGGCTTGGTGCAATTATAGAATCACAATAATACCCCTATATGAATTTGAATCTTCAATCTATTATATGACACTCGATAGTATGTGCCTGCGAGCCAGCGCCTAAGAAGCAACCTCGGTCGTAAAAAGGTTGGTCAGCCCTGTGCAATAAGGCCTATGGCTGCGTGTTTCCCATTTTATCCCATGGTGCATCCTAGCCAGACAATGACACAATTTGAGGGGATATGCTTTATCTGTTTATTCAGTCCATGTACTTCCTTTCACATCTGCCAGTAGTTGGCCTTCTCACAGACTGGGCTCTGTCATCAATGAGCGTGTTCCATGCAAGCATCACCGTTCTTGCTACTCAGCTACTGTCTAGTGATTTATGATTGAAGCGACATCGTCCAGCCTGTAGTATCCCGACATGCGTCTGTGATAGTTGAACACGAGTGACACTTCCACATATCGCTTCGTAGATATATATATACAGAGTACACCCGACCACAACCATGTCTCACCCAATCATCCATTATCAGGACACTCTGAAATAGCTATAAGCCCAGAGCCATTTATAATGCGGCATTGGTCACTTATATCTTTTTATTTTGCATTGGTTTGATCTGGATTCTTTTTGCTTTTCTGGAGAGGGTTCCTCGTTGATCCCTGGGGAAATCAGGATGAGAGTGTAATCTCCATCTCCGAAGACGCGGGAATCAACCATTCAAGGTTAGAGTTGGGTGTCGTTAGCCTTTCAGTGAAGATGACTACGATCTGTTAGCAGACATTAAGATGGACGTCAATCCATCCAGAGTAGTATGCCTGTACGGAGTAGACGAAGTGCTGTTTTCCTTGAAATGTTGCCCAGGTTGATGACCGAATGGGCTTGGCGCTGGTCTCCGCACGTGCGGCACGCCTCGACGCGTCGCTGGAGATTCGCGACTGATTGCACCCTTGTGCCTGCGAGAACAGCCTCGATAACAATCAACAACAGGAACGATGGAGCCGATATAACGCAATTGAGTCTGGACTCTTCCTAATTATACTCTGTTTGATTTTTCTTGTAAAGAGCAGGGCCTCTCGAAGGCCTGGAGTTTATTCTTTTTTCTTTCTTTCTTATTTTCAGTTCCCTGTTCCCGGGTTTGTCGTGTGCTTCGTGCTCCCTTGAGTTGCGCTGCAATGTATCTGCCTCGCCAACTCATATCGCACCTCTACCTACAACTCCTCCGTTCACATCACCCGCTCTCTCCTCCTGTGCTGGTCCTCGTAGCTCTCGAACCCGATGCCCTCTGCGCTTGTCGAATCCTGACCGCCCTCTTGAAACGCGACTATATCCCCACAAGATCCAGCCGGTAGCCGGATATGGCGATCTCGCACGCGCCGGCGAGGAGCTGGTCAAGCCTATGCAGACGCACAATGGGGGCAGTGGAGGCGTGGTCGTATGTCTAGGCGTGGGAGGCTTGGTGGATCTCAACGAGATTCTCTGTCTGAGCAGCCCGGACGACGAGGCAGAGGATATGGGAGGGGTGGAGGTATGGGTGTTCGACTCGAGGCGACCGTGGAATCTGAGCAATGTCTTTGGGGGGAGGCTGTGGCGGCTTCGGCGGATGGGGGTGATGGCGCTTCGCGGCGGAACACGCGCGGTGTCGACAAGGGATGCATCACTCCGTCGTTCAAATCAGGCGCGGGTGGTATTGTCGTCTACGATGACGGGGATATCGAGGAGGAGATGAGCCAGGAGAGAGAGGCGTACTGCGCGCTGTTGGAGATGCCGGACGTAGACGAAGATGAAGAGGATATTGACGGATCCGGCAGCGAGGATGATGAAGAGCATCCGTCCAGCTCGGGGTCCAAGAAGAGAAAATCGTGGTCGGGACGCGAAGATGAGGATGACTCTGACGAGAACGATGGCCCCCGCGTCAGCGGCGGAGGAGTAATTCAGTATGTTTTGCGGTCTGCCCTCATGTTTGCTGTTTGCTGTGATCTCTAACCGTACGCCGGCAGGGGTCCTCCATTGCTTCGTCTCCGAGTCGTCGACCGAGGGACGAGCATAACTCCTCGAACTCTTCTCGCTCTGTCACACCAGGCTCAGATTCACCGTCACCCGCGCTGCCGAGGCAGCCGTCTGCACGATCATTGAGGCGACGGCTGATTCGGCTCAAGAGGAAACATGAGAAGGTGTTACAGAAGTATTACTCCACCGGCACATCGTATTCCGAACCGATATCCTCGCTCGTGTATTCTCTCGCATCCGAACTTGGTCGGGAAGACAACGACCTTCTGTGGTTGGCCATTGTCGGCGTCTCCAGCTTGGAACTCAGTGGCCGTACAATGTCTGGTGTTGGCATCTCAAATCCATCAGAATCCGGGGGGTCTGCTGGCTGGGGTGGAGAACGGGGGAGCGCGTTCGTCGAATATTACGAGACGAAGTCCATCGATTGAACCCACCCGACCCCTACGAGAGAGACAGGGACATTAGAGGGGAGATCAACGGCGTGATCCCCACAACCGCCAAATCGCCAACAGACAAGTCTATTCGATTATCTCCAGAACCCCGTTTCATTCTGGTCCGACACTGGTCACTCTACGAAAGTATGCTACATAGTCCCTATCTGGCATCACGACTCCACGTTTGGACAGAGAATGGACGGAAGCGATTGCACAAGCTTCTCGCGAAGATGGGAATCAGCTTGAATCAGTGTCATCAGAACTACACTCACATGGATATGGAACTGAAGCGAGTACTACGGCAACGGCTTCTCAAGTATGCACCAATGTACGGCCTGGAAGGACTCGTGCCGCCCGACGCATCTGGTCATGTCTCCTCCCGCGAAGGGTGGGGCTTCGTGCGCTGCTGGGGTTGGAAAGCCTGTCTTTCCGCCACGGACGTGGGCGTCATTATAGGCGCGATCCTCGAGGTCGGGCCAGAGGAAGCCCCCGGCGCCACCTGGGACACAAAGCGCCTCTCGCGCCCCAAAAGCGCAAATGACGGGAATGGCGCTGATGAGTCCACCGAGTCTGATTTGTCTAGCCTTCTGCCGCGATTCTGGAGCGCATACGATGCTTTGTCGCTCACCTCAGAATCGCCCACCCTCCTTCTGAAAGCACTCCCGCTTGCTCAGCATCTTCACCGGGCCATTCTGCGCACCGGTACATCTCTACTATCGAAGCACCAAATCCGGCACCTGCGAGCATTTCGCATCGCTGTTGTTAAGGACGGTCCAGATGTCAAACTGTTCACAAATCCTGGAGCTCTGACAAAACTGGCCCTCTGGATAGCCGAGGCCATCAGAGTCCAAGAACGTGAACGAGGCGACAGTGTAAAGATTGGAAAGAGGCGAGCCGCAGGGACCCCATTGGTACTAGCCGGACTCGACGAAGACCGGGGGCTGTATGTAGTTGTCGGTACGGGTGGCGGCGGAGGTGTGATCGACTACGCGGCAATGCACAAGCGTCAAGAAGAACGCCGTAAGAAAAAGGAAGCAAAGGAGAAGAAGCAAAAAGAGCGCGAGGAACGTCGAGCGCAGCGCGCAGCCGAGCGTGCTCAACGTGGAAACGACGATGACGACGAAGAAGCCGAAGAGACAGAGGAGGAATCGGAGTCATCATCGGAATCCGAGTCGGAGTCTGAGGACGAGCTTGACATGCGCGGCAACAAGCACCTTTTGCGGAACCGATTCGGTATCGCCTTCCAGGAGGTGGTGCAGGAGACCAACACTCGAGTGCGCATTGACAGTTTCGAGCACTGTGTCGTTGAAGTGCAAAAGGAGGATCTGGGTGGCTTCCTCGAAGCTCTCAGCTTCCGTAGCGTCGTCGGTTAAAAGTCCGAGTCTCGCTCCGTCTCACTTTGCTCAAGTGAATACTGTGGCTGTTGTTGCCGTTGCTCGATATTTCCTCAAAGCTAATCCTGAATTCCTGACGATATATTTGCGATGCGTTCTCTCTTTCCTTGCTGGTTGGCTCACTGCGTGGGATAAGGTCTCTGTGGTTTGGCTGGAATCGGTGTTCATTTCAATGGGATAAAAGAAGGAATATGTGTTCATGACCAGTTGGAAATCTGTTTGTTTGCTCTCTTTTCGTTCTTACCGCCTTCTGTTAACAGCATTTTTGTCATTCGCCTTGTCCATCACTACTCTCTTGACCATGGCCATCTTGCATATCCCCCTGCACATGTCACGGCGTTGGCGGTGTTACAGACCGTGCTTGGATTCCGTTTAACCTTCCATTTTCTCATGATTGATTTATAGCTGTCAAGAGCAATGTCCATCGGCGATCTTGTCTGTTGAATAGCATGTGCGACATGTCCTGCATTCATTAATAGAGCCATTTTTACTTTGTTGTCGGTGATGATACAGCGACACCCTAGACCTTAACAGGGGGAAACTTAGGTGGGTGGACAAGCCTGACACTCTAACGAACCAAGTTAACGGGGCTTATCCACGGAGGGTCCAGCCTTCCAAAGGCTTCTAAACAAGTGCTAGAATTTCTACTCTGTGCACGAGATATTGTTGCTTTGGAGGCTTCGGTGATTGCTCCGACCCAAGCAACGGAGTTTCCCCGCATATCAAATGCCCCGCGATAGAGTCAATTGCCCGGAGTGTCTCCGTATGGGACTGAGTATTTGAGACCACGGAGACGCTCAATTCCCTCATTCATATATAGTTGTCTCTTTTCATATGCTACGACCAAATAAACCGCAATGTCTTTCCCCAAAGAATATCCCACGCTGCCTCGCGAAAGTACCTTGACCCAGCTTCCTCCCGAATACCCCGCAGACGCTCAGGAACAGATCGTACAGCTTCTCTCGACATCTTCACTGAATCGCTTAGTTGTGCTAGACGATGACCCTACAGGCACCCAGACCTGTCACAATATCCCTGTGCTCACCGTCTGGGACATCTCGACGCTGATTAAGGAATTCCAGCAAGATTCCCCAGGGTTCTTTATTCTCTCCAACTCGCGCGCTCTTCCCCCACTTGAAGCGGAGAAGCTCATCCGCGGCATCTGTGCAAACGTGTTGGAGGCAGCCCGATCCACGTCTCAGACTGTCGACATCGTCCTCCGAGGCGACAGTACATTGCGTGGCCATTTCCCACTAGAAGCAGACGTCGCGCAGTCCGTGTTCGGCCCCGCAGATGCATGGGTGCTGGCCCCCTTCTTCTTCCAGGGTGGACGGTTCACCATCAACGACGTACACTATGTAGCCGAGGGGAGAATCTGGTGCCCGCGGGTCGACACAGTTCGCCAAGGACGCGACCTTTGGGTACAAAAGCTCGAATCTGAGGGACTATGTCATGGAGAAAGCGCCTGGGCGGTTCGGCCCCGAGCAACTGCACTCGATCACAATCGAGGATATTCGAATCGGCGGGCCCGATGCCGTATACGAGAAGCTCATGAGTTTCCCCAAGGGCGGCGTCGTCATCGTCAACGCCGCAGCGGAGTCGGACATGCACGTTTTCGTCGCCGGCTTGCTTCTGGGTATGTTCGAGCCCATTCTATCTTTCATCCAAATACTGACAGCGGAACAGCCGAAAGCAAAGGAGAACACTTCCTCTACCGCACCGGCGCTGCCTTCGTCTCCTCCCGGCTAGGAATCCGCTCCATCCCACCCATCACAGCCCACCAACTGGCCCTCCCCTCCCCACGGGAAACAGGCGGCCTCATCCTCGCCGGCTCCTACGTCCCCAAGACAACCGCCCAGCTCAAGGTCCTGACCGACACCCGCGGCTCAACCGGCGCCCTCGCCATCATCGAAATGGACGTCGCGGATCTGATCGCCTCACCCGAAAGCGCGGAGCGCGTAATCCGCCACGTCGTCCAGCAGACAGAGACGCACCTGCAGTCCGGCACGGATACGCTGGTCATGACGAGTCGGAAGCTGATAACGGGGCAGGATGAGCTCGACTCGCTGGCTATCGGGGCTAGAGTCGCCGAGGCGCTGGTTAAGGTTTTGCAGCAGATCCAGGTGCGGCCGAGATATATCATTGCCAAGGTAAGTAATCGTGCATTGTAAAGGGATTGGATTCTTCAGCTGATAATTGGGTTGTTGCTGTCAGGGCGGGATCACCTCTTCCGACGCTGCTACCAAGGGGCTTAATATCAAGCGTGCCATGATCGTCGGTCAGGCTGCGCCTGGTGTGCCGCTTTGGCGATGTGATGAGCCGACGTCCAGGCATCAGGGTGTCCCGTTTGTTGTGTTCCCGGGAAATGTGGGTGGGGAGTCGACGCTGTGCGAGCTGGTGGAAGCATGGAGCTGAGGATAGACGTCGTCTGTATGTATAGTTTCACAATGATCTGAATGCACATATATCCAATTGAAGAGAGTCTACAACAAGAAGACTGATTTTACACATTGGGAATTGGATACTGGACTATGTGGCCCGTAGGCCACGCGGAATGTGTACCTTCATTCAACTAACCTAACTGGCACTTGGACCAGATAATAACTGCGTAAAGGGATGGCGATATGTACAGCCACATACCATCTTTGCGTCAGACAGAAATCTCCACCATACCAGTATCAAAACGCCGTGGGAAAAAAGCCCGCCCATACTTAGTAATGCAGATATGCGCCATATCTTGATGGCTCCAAGAGCGCCCTCTCGCAAGATTGCTGGAAAAGCGGCATCGAACCAAGAGATGTTTGTTTCGTTGCGTAGGATGGGGAACAAGAGAGGGATGAAGGCGGGAGAATAATGACGACCAACCTTGTTATCTGACCTCGATTGCGCTGTTCGTCGAGGTGAAGCCCAAGACGTTAATTAAGCGCGAACTGCAAAGGCAGAGTCAGCTGGGGTTAGTTGTTCACCAACACATTATCTTTGTTCGTTGGGATTTCAACTTCCATCAGTGGTTTAGGCGTCGTAAGTGTATCGTTTCAGTGAGAACATAATGGGGCACCAGCCCCAACACGACGAGTAGTTCGGCATCAGTGAGGGATGCTCACGCAGGTGTTGGCGTACCGGAGACTCCGTTGGAGGTGACCTGCCGTTTTGCAGCTGGAAGCGATGCGTCCTAGAAAGTAATTGAACTTAGTCAATCCAATGCCGGAACTCCAAGAGCATCAACCGAAATGCGAAATATCTGCTTTCGTCCGGTGACTCGTTTCCCGCTCGTTATCTTATTTGACTCTCTTGCATGCACTTACGTCCAAAGATTCGATACTTCGCTTTTGAGCGCCTGCGTCGGGTTTCTTAATGATCTTCTTCTTGGGGCGTGTGGGACGGGTTTCTCCCGGTTGGAAGACATCCTCGGGAAGATCAAAGCTGGTTCTCAAGTCAAAACATATCCAACGAAGAGAGCGAATTATGTCCAGACTTACTTGCGAACGTGAGTGATGGAGAGATCATTGATGCCGGGTTGGTATCCTGCCCACGAAGTACATGTAGATTTAAAAATCTGGGCATCCGTAGATATGTCCAGCGAACGCGAGGCACCTTCTACCGTCAGCTAGCTCTCGGAAGTCAAGCACCATACATACCTGGCTCCAATGGCTTCAACTCCAAGCCGATATAATACGTCGTGGTGTAAATGATATGGCTGTCACCATTTGCGCTCTTCTCACCGACGGGCTCAACCTCGGCATTCTCAACTCCGCTGAGAGCTGCGGCTTGGTGTGCAGCATCTTTCCTTTCATCTGTGGTCTCCGTCTTCGTACCCTTATCCTGATACTTGGTAGAACCGTTCTTTACGGCCTCTGCTTCTTCTTCATTGGAGACGATATGCACTCTCTCAAAGCCTTTTGGAAATGGGTGAGCCACTGCGATGGTAGGCTTGCGATCCAACGCTCCGACGAGGTGTCTGATCTTGGATTCGACAAGACCAGACCACACTGCTTCCGCTTCCTTAGTTCTGCTTGAGGCAGTGATGCTAAGATAGTATTTGTAATCCTGCGTGAAGAATGAGTGCCGTGCAAAGAGATCATTCCAAGTCAATTGCTTCAAGAAAATCTTGTCCACAATATCACCTCCCCGCTGGAGCTCACGAAGGATAACCGCCTTTGTGGACATTGAAATGTTGTGCGTCGCACACATCGATGGATACGCGGGGGTGATGATAGGCATAAGGTGGAACCGGTCGCCATGGTAAATCTATCATCAATGTCAATACCGCGAAAATGCGGCGCAGCGTCCTTGGTTGCCCTTACCTTGGGATTCCAGACTTTTATCTGGAGAGGTCCGTCCTCGATTGGCTTTAGCAGAACAGGCTGGGGCCACGCCCACTTGTTCATAATGCGGAAAAACTTGCCGACGATCACAGACCCGGTGGCATGGGGGTATAACTGACAGACTCGTGCTACTAGCATGGCCCAAGCGACACCACCCGGGAAACCAACAATATTAGAGTAAATGGCCCGGCCTGTAACTTGGTGTCAGCATGGTTGCCGGGAGATGATGGGAAGAGAGACAGATGGGATGTCCTTACGCTGAGCCCAGAGTTTGATTGCGCGTAGAGCAAGACGAAACGTCTTCTGCTGAGGGACCAGTTCTAAAATCTCATCTGTGACACGAGTTCCGTTCAGCGACCGCACCTCCTTCTCGTCAAGCCCCCTGAGGTAATCATTATTCTTCAAGTCGAGATTGAGAGGGACCGAAGACACGATCAAACGGGCAAAGATAAGATCGATACTGATACCGGACAACTCCAGCTTGATGATCGGGACGAAGGCGTCGGGAACTGGTGTCATCTTTTCGATCGCCCCGGGGGGAGCCATCTTCTCGAGCACCGGAGGAAAGTCTGAGAAGAAATCGTCAATGAGGACATGCTTGGGGCCGACCACGAGTGTATCAATATCCGAGCCTATCGCGTTGTCAATATCATAACCATTGTGATTAAACACTTCCACGCTACTAACCAGGACCATAGACACCCAGGCGATAACTTCCATAAGTGAAAATCTTTCCACCTGCTGCCTCGACTGCTGCAGGGGACAGCCCCTTCTTTCGGCTGACGACCTTGACGAACTCGTGGGTTACGCGTTGAATGAGTTGGAGAACTTGTTTCCTACGCGATAACAGACATGGTGTCAGCGCGAACATCAACAAGGAGAAAGGTAGCTAAGTTGAACCTACCTCCGCTCTGTCTCCGCGGGACTTTCGAAGTTGTTCTGGGCCTTGAGCTCCGAGATCAAATCATCGTTGGCAGCGAGTTCATCGGGAGTCGGGAGAGATGTTGAGATAGGAGGAGTAACTCCCCACTGACGAACTGGTGGTGTTGACATTCTGTTGTCTAGCTTGAGTTGACCAAATTCATGCAGTTGCGCCGTGTAGGCGTCAGCGGAGAGCGGCTAGATAAAGAGCAAGAGGATTCGCTAGAGAACGAAGCAAAAGGGAAGATACAGAACGACGCAGAAGCAAATTAAATTAAGAAAGAAGTAGAAGAGGACTTGTAGAGGAAAGAAAGACAAAGGAAGGACTGAATTGATGAAAACGACTACAGGAGATCGAATTGACCCGGTGAATAGTTGGAATCCAGATGAGGAGTTCCAGGATTATTCACGATTGTATGCTGACCTATCAAATACTTATCACATGATGCTCACCATTGCCACAGGATGGTGAATCACGTGACATTGTCTTACTAGATCTAGCACTTGAAGTTCAAATTGAACAGTGAGCAATACTGTACTAACCAAACTGCAAGATAATATAAGCCTACTTGAGTTGATATCCGCCACATGTCAACTCAGAGTCTACAGGAAGTCCGCCAGTTGCTCGTCCAGCCACTTAACATCGTCTTTGCTGTCTCCAGGACCACCAGCCCAGTCTGTTTGAGGATCGTCAGAAATGTCTCGCCAATAGTGAGCATCGGATCAACTTACGGCCCCAGATAGAAGGAATGACGCGAAGAGTTCCAATGCCAGATTGCATGCAGGAGACTTCATATTCGGAGTCCTCGGGACTGCGCAGCGACATTCAGCATTAGACGCCAAGGCTCGAAGCATCACTTACGGGAAATATAGGTCAGTTTTCCCTGGCATCACCAGGGTCTTGGCCTTGATTGAGCCGATAGCCTTTTCGAAATTACCATTATATGGTTCCTGCTGGGACACGTCTCCATTCTGCCAGGTCTGAAGCATGACCAACAGATTATCCGGATCTTATCCGACGGGGCCAATCGTCAACGGAGCCAGTTCAGGACATGTTGAGTTTCTGCAGACGGCTTACCTTTGGATAAAGCCCACTTCTCCCAGAATTTTTGCATAAAGTCTTCCAGGTCCTTGTAGCCAAGGGCTGTCTCGTACAACTTCTCCCGGTAGAAGGCCTGGCTGAAACCCCTATCCAGACATGATCAGTCAGCTCCGCATCGTTCAATGTTATAGAGGGCTGTTTGTTCGGACACAAGCTTACCAGCCAGCATACACTCTAGCAAAAGCTTTCAAACCAATCTCTCCGTCCTCGGCGCTCCATGCCCCCAAAGTCTGATCGGCCTTTAGAAGGCCAATCTTCCCCGACCCCGCCGATGGGACGCGCTTCGCTGCAAGCAAGGCGCTCTTGACGCCTTCCAAAAACACCTGGTTATGCAGGGATGTCTTTGCGGAGCCGCAGAAAGGAATTGCGACGTCCATGAACTCAGGATACTGAGTCGCCCATTGATAGGTCTGTGCTGCTCCCATTGACCAGCCGATCACTGCACGTAGATGCCGGATTCCAAAGTGCTCCGTGACAAGCTTGTGCTGAGCGCGAACATTGTCGTAGAATGAGCATTTCGGAAATGGCCGAACATGCGGCTGGTTGGATGGAGACGAGGACTGGCCGTTTCCGAAGAGCGCAGGTATGATGATGAAGTACTTCTTCGGATTCAGGACTTTGTCTTCTCCTACAAGCCAGAAGTTGTCGGATATCACTTGGTGGAGGTCAGTATAACAGGAATATGTCCTTTTCTCTGTCGGTCTCTACATACTCCCAGAAAACCATGTGGGGTAGACAATTGCGGGGGAGCTCGGGTCTCCAAATGTCTTGTACGCAAGATGGGCATCACGTATCTCCTCCCCACTCTGGAGTTCCCAGTCTCCCAGCTTAAAGGTCTCGTAGTCTTGGTCAGTCATGTTGGTCACAAAGTTGAAGAGGGCAGATCTGGGAAAGAGCTCTGAAAGTTTGGCTGATAATGTCAGCCTGAGAGGAACCTTCTGACATCCTAAGAGTTCAAAGTTCAGCGATGAGCAGCGACCCATCTACATATTTATAGTTCCCTCGACGATCAAGGACTTAATTGGTGACACATTGCAGTGTCTTGAGGCACAGGCTTCTTTGCATTGGTAACACCGACGGTATCCCATGTTGCGATTTATAATGAGATCTGGGCCAACCTTGTCGACAATAAAGTATACCTATCTATATCTAATCAATGCATACTATTACGTAGCGGATACGATGACCAACAAGGTTGTTCTACTAGCTGAAATAGTGGTCTACTGTTTTGCTTCACTATCGAGATGTTGACGCGTCTATCTACTCCATGCTCTAGAGTCTCCCTTATCGGGTTGACCCAACAGAAGAGACAGCTCCCCACCTGGGGTGGCCTCGGGTATCTGATCAGATGAAATCGGCCCGGCGATCGGTAGTGAAGGCATATTTCCACGGCCCTTTTAAGCAAATTATGGTGATAAAAGGGGGTGGAAATTAGGACATTATAATATATATGTTCCGTGGAGTTAGTGCAGGTCCAACGCTCGGGACAAAATAAATATCGAGGAGCCTGCCCCGATCGACAGATAGCACTTGTGTGTTAAGGAAACCTCTTGAAGAACTCTTTGAATTAGTCTGTAATGAGCTGTACAATCCCATATCGGGCCTTGCAAGTTCAAAGATCATTGCATACACAGTTGTACGTTGTCCGACCACCATTTGCACACTGAGGGGATGTTGTCTCGGGAAGGAGTCTCAGCAGCAAGTCGGAGTTAAACAAGGGAAGAGCGTGCGACTTGCTAATAACTTATTGCAGAGGGTCTCGCGTGCAATCATATCCTCCTTGGGCGATTCACATATCCTATTACTATCGATCTTTTCATCAATCTGCTACAATGTTCAAGGTCGGCGACGATTTCGAAAAGATTCAGGCTTCCCGACCTGACTTCAAGCGTGATGCGCCGGTCACTTTCTCTAAGCCCCCGAATCCAGACTGGAAACAAGGCGACGGCGCCAATGATGGCGGAGAGAGTCTGAAGAAGAATCACCTCGAAATCGACCCATACGAAGAAGGACGACCGGCATCATCAAACTATAAGCTGTTAATCTCGGGAATCGTCCCAAGACCCATTGCGCTTATCAGTACCAGATCCAAAGATGGAAAGACGACTAACTTGGCACCGTTCAGTTATGCTCAAGTCATCAATCACGACCCTCCTCTTTTCACTGTTGGATTGGTTGGCTCGCTTGAGAAGGCAAAGGACTCGCTGAAGAATATGGTCGAGTCAGGTGAATGTGTGATTAATATCATCTCTGAGCATTTTGTCGAGGCAGCCAACGCGACCGCTATCAATGCACCGTACGGAGTCTCCGAGTGGGAGATTTCCGGGCTGCACCAAGCGCCTTGCTCTGTCGTCCAAGCTGCCCGTGTCAAGGAGTCAATGTTCTCAATTGAAGGTAAACTCGTCGAGACTAAGGAGTTCCAGAGTAGGACGACGGGAAAGACAACGGGCACTTTGGCGATTATTGAGGGTGTTCGTTTCTGGGTGAGGGATGACGCTATCAACGACGACAAGAGCGTTATCGACCTCAAAGTCCTGAAGCCCATCAGTCGGCTGGGAGGTATCTCTTATGGGCGTACCACTGATGCCATCGAAATTCCGAGGCCAAACTTCTAGATGGCTGTAAAGCACTTAAGCGGGATGAAGGTGATTTTCTGTCGGTTCGCAGATAGAGGCCATAAGATATAGACATGCTTATCACATCCTAGAATTCTTCATCCAAACATAAGTTAGCCCTGCTCTCATAACCCGTGCTCCTCGGTGTCCCGTTGATAGATAGGCGCGTAAATCTGGCATGTCGCAGATCTAGCCTTATTCCTGGTGTCTTAATTTCTGGCTCAATTCTGGCTATTGAGAGCACAGGTGAAGATCACAGGCCATAGAACTTTGCGTTTCAAATTCGGTCAAAGCTCGGTCCAGCAACATACCACTGTACAAGGTTAGATCGCTCGGTTCACACCATGGTACGTGGGGAGAAATTATTTCGACGCCTCCACCAGCGGATTTGTTGAGGGCTTCTAGCCTTCCTTGTAGGCTTCGAGGCTGCTAAGTAGGCTCGTTCCGTTGTCCGATTGTGGAACTCGGACTCACTCCGGTTCTGAGTCCATTGAGCTATGGCCCATGGGAAGCCTACTCCCCCATGGACTAGTGATCCTGTCAATCCATTATTTCCCCATCCTCCGGCTAAATTCGTCTTCTCCAGATGAAGAGAATCCTCCCCGACGGCTGGCCCCTGCAGGAACAGAACATCAACATGAGATCATGCAACAGGCACACTTCTTGATCCTTAATATTAGTAGCTTCTATCTCTCGTGAAAAGCTGAAAAGCGTATGAAAAGCCGACGAACCATGTACCTGTCGGACCCACAGACTAGAGAAACGGGGGATCTACAGAGTTGCAGAAATAAGGAAGTAGTCGGTTCATTGCTTAGATCGATAGTAGCTGTATGCTGTACCCAGTTTGGATAAATCAATACATCTCTGAATCACGGGACAAGCAGATGTAGCATCCAGAACCATGGGGAGGGTCACATGGTGGTCCCTAGTTTTTTTGGGGCCCCAGCCAGGGCGCGGAAGACGGAGAACACCTTACCTGCCTTACCTATCCATATCCATGTTTCTTGCTTCTGTCCATCCATACGTGTCTGCTCTCTGCCTAGTTTTGTCTACCTGTATCTTTTATTACATTTGATACCATTCCAGTTTTGCCAGCCTGTCATTTTACGTCGGTGTGATCAAAGCATTCTTCGAGCAGGTCTGGCGTCTTTTAAGCCAGTGTGGCCGAGCATTGCGCAAATAAGCACACTCGGCCTCGGCCATCCTAATTCAGTACAGAAGCATTGTCGCTTGAGATGGGCTATGGAAAAATAATGGTTATAATCGCTGACAGTACGAGTAAAGATAATGTTTAACCAATACACAACATAGTCCTGCTGACGCATTAATTAGAATAATTATTGTGCCGTGCCCTCCCCCTCACCTCCCACATCCCGACCTTGCGATCTTGCGATCTTGCGTCCGCCGCAAAGTGGGATAACGTCCATGGAGTTTTCTCTTCTGCTGGCGCTCCGTCCCATCGATCATCCTCATCCGCGTCGCCGGAATATACGAAAGCCTTAACTTCCCTCGCCAACCCCCTGGGATCTGACTCTCGGTCTCGATCGATTGCTCCAGCGTCGCAAACAATCAACTACCTAATGTGACATGTGTTGTGACCACGGATGAATATTCGCTCGCAATGAGCCATTCGTCTCCTGTGAAAAATGGCGGCAGTAATGTTCCTCCCGCAAGGCAAATACGTTTTGTTTCAAGCGATGGACAGCCCCAGCCGAAGCGCCGTCGAGTCAATGCGGCGTAAGCTTGCCTTCGTGACAAATGTTCTTTACGGAGCTAACCGTAGCCTTCTTGGTGGCTCATATAGGTGTCGGACATGTCGCAAGCGGAAAATAAGATGCTCTGGTGAACAGCCAGGTGAGAAGCTGACGCCGCACTTATACTTATCGATGCTATTACTGATGACCTGTCTCCTAGTGTGTAAAACTTGCTTGGACTACAAACATGTCTGTTTAGGATATAGCGAACCTTCTACTCACGTTCGGACGCATTCAGAACACGCGTCACAAACATCTAGCCTCACCCCTCTGCCTTCTGCTAGCGAGCGAACAAATCCTCGGACGGTTAAGAGTCAAAGTCCAGATGGTGCTTCACAGTATAAGCAACCCGCAGGCGGTGGCCTTGACCGGAACGCCGATCATACAAGCTCTCAGGATGCCTTTGTATCGAGAGACGCACCTTCGAGCAATATCCGTGAGTCGGAGCAGCATACGACCGGAGCAAGTCCGGAAAGCAGTACGTTCTACTAGAGGAACCCGGTCACAATTGGTATAGCTGGCTGCGTTGACTCACATTATTTTCAAAAGGTCGGACCTCCCTAAGCTCAAGCCATCGCACCCACGTTCCTTATTTTAGATATTTTGGGCCGACAGCCATTGTCCCCGGCTTCAAACAGATGGTGAGTGCTTTCGCCTGGCTTTTTGCTGCAGGAGCTTCCCATTTACTTATTTTGCCTGCAGGTAGTACAGGTGCGCGGGTCTCGCAAAAGCAATACTTCGTTGTCTTCAGGTATGCATCCAACCCATTTCGTGCCTATGACCTCCTGTGGCTAGTGTTTTCGCTTGCTTCTGACGGTTCGAGCGATATTACAGAGTCCCTTTCGCCTCTTCGAAGTCCAAAGTCTGCAAACGTGGGCGTCGGTCATATAGATTCGCTGATCGATAACCGTGAGTTCCGAGACGCGAACACCATTCCGTTCTATGACCGAGACGATACTTTACCTGTCAGCAACCTAGTCATGCACCTTTGCGACCTGTTCTTCGTTCATCTGGGCTGCAGTTTCCCATTCTTACAGCGAGATCGGTTTCTTCGTGACCTAAAGGATAAGAAAGTCGATACCATGCTCGTTGACGCAGTCTGCGCCTTGGCCGCGAGATTTTCGCCACACCCGCTATTGGGTCCTCCTCAGGCGCCGTCTATCGATGGCTCAGAGTTGCAGACTGACGTGAAGAACTCAGACCGCGGTCAGGCATTTGCCCATAGGGCAATGGGCGCCTTGGTCGACTCGCTTTCATGCCCCACGCTCTCTGTTGTTCAAGCCTGTCTTTTGCTGGCCTACGAACAATTCGGATCGAATCATGACAGCGGTCTCTGGATGTATCTAGGTATTGCCATTCGAATGGCTCAGGATCTTGGAATGCAGAAGCTGCAGGGACTGAATCACAGCTATGGGCGGAGGGGCGTGACTCCAAGTGCAGTTGTGTCTGGACAGGCAGGACGGTTACGGGAGGAAGAATATGATCAATGCGATGGTGCTCGAGTTCCTTTAAGCCCCAGCACCGAGATGAAGCATACCGAGGACCATCGCGCCTGGGAGCGTGAAAAGGTCGACACGTTCTGGAGTATTTTCTTCCTGGATCGTGTAATCTCCTCTGGCACTGGGAGGCCAGTCACGCTACGCGACGAGGAAATAGAGTTATGTTTCCCGCTACAGTCGGAATCGAAACTATCGAACGGCTGGCCTGCACCGTTCCCACCACTCATTCGCATAATACACCTTTACGGAAGAGTCACGGATCTGATCAATGGTATTCAGGATGCAAACCATGTCACGACAGAGACCTTGAAGAGACTTGCCGGGATGGAAAGTGATCTGACAGGTAGGCGGTCATCTTTCTCTTCCTCCCCAATCATCTGGTCCCTTCGTAGACTTACATATTTTTCCAGGCATCTACCAGCGATTGTCGCCCAGACTGCATTTTAACGCGGCCAATTTCCAGGCCTACGTGAAAGCGAAAGAAGGAACAAATTTCATACTTCTCCATTTTGTAAGACGATTTTCCAACATCCACATTATTTCGGCCCTTGATCTAACATACATGAAGTGGTTTCACACCCTCATCGTCCTTCTTCACCAACCCACTCTCCTGAATTCGTTCGGCGGTACAATACAGCATCTCTACCCAAACAGCAGAGAATTGTCGATGTCCTCAGCCAAGACAATAGCCGACATTCTATCTTTCTCCGAGCTTGTTGATGGGAAGAGCTTTATCGGCAATCCATTCACGAGTCAGCCAATGTACATCGCTGCCTGCGCTTTTCTCATGGAGAGCGCATATTATTCGTCGCCCCCTTCGAGATCGGGTTCCCCTCCTTGTCAACCGCTTCTCAATGACCAGTCGAGTAGCTTCGTGATGCCAAACATGGACTCTTCTTCGGAACGGAAGTCGAGCGCTAAGCATATACTTCTCGCTTCCGCTGCCCGAGAAAACTATCAGCGGTGCTACAAAGCCCTCAAGGCTCTTGAGACATATTGGGAGGGTACTAGGTATATTCTAACCGTTCTAGATCAGAAGGCTAAGGGTATCGTTGATCCATTACTCTATACTGAAGAGGAGATGGAAATTGCAACTGAGACATTTCCACTTCCGCCCTCCGCTGCCTCCACCTACCGACAAGCAAAGTCACCATTGAGTGCCACTGTTGAGCCAAGAAAGGCGGCAAGTGCTGCAAATTCCTTCGCACAAGGCAGAATATCACCGAGGATTGACCCGGGGCAAGGTATAACAATCATACATATTGGCACTTCACAAAATGCGACAGCTAACGTATTTCTCCTAGCCATTGGATGGGCTCTTACTGGAGCCACCAACTCTTCTCAACCAAACCTCAGCTTGTTATACCAGATGCCAGCTTCCCAAGCCGATTATGACTCGAATAGACCTACCTATTCTTCTCAGTATAGCCACAGCTACCCCAATCTACCGGCGCAAGGTTCAAGCTCGTATCCGCAGTCAGTGGAAACGACGCGGGCTTCAGACGGGGCACGATCTTCGTCAATCTCTAATGGACCCGCGAAATACGGTTCGCTTGTCCCTCCTGGACGAGTTGCTGCTTCCGATGCCAATCTTCTACTGGGCCTAAACACATCATACTCTAACAGAACCGATAGCACATCGAATACTCAACCAACTTACACCCAGGGCCTCACCTCTTCGCCCTCGTCTCAACTGCACCCTCAAACCTCTCACTACAGTTACACCATGGCGTCTGCACAGAGCGAGCGGCATGCAGGTAGCAGCCATATAAATCCACAATCGACACATCTACAATCAAACATGGGCTCGAACTTCGGTGGGGTCTTTATAGAAAGCCAGGATGTCGATGTGAATGCTCTCCAACAACAAGAGCACTTTCCATTTCCCTTCAATGGTGAAATTCTGCCCTACCTTGAATATCTACCGCAAGATGTCCTTCATTACTTTGAGGAACAACAAAATTACCCTCTGATGAGCGCAGACGAAAATCATACCCGACCTTCGGAATGAATTCATGTCCCTTTTGTTGCATACATCTGACGACTGTATGAATATACGACCGGTATTTTGTCACCTTCAGTCATGATTGGGTGAAGGAAAGTCATTTTCAACGTCTTGGCATTGCATATGCATTCTAATTAAGCGTAATCTGCTATTTACTTCGTCCTGCATTAGTCTTATGCTTCGATTCAGCGAGCAAGCATTTATGAAGGTAGTCACAAACGAACCCTCGTCATGCATTGTAACTATCTGATCTGGGACAATCTATATTACCCTTGCGACAGCATAGTGATCCCATTCTGTATCTATATTCTGAATTCAAAGTCATGTTCCAACTTGAGCCCATTGGTCAATTTCGATAGATGCGACCATCACTTGTAGTGAGCTCATTACTGAGCATGCAGACGGCCTTATGTTTATGGGTAGATGCTCAACTGCCATTCCTATTTGTGGAAGTTCTCAAATCGAATACCGGGTAGATGACCTTGTCAGATAACAATTAAAGGCCCCTATGGAGCTTTCATCTATCGAACGAAACCTTGCGCCAAGCAGTGCTGATCTAGGAGGTTGATCAGCCACTAAGGTAGAGTAGACCGCCATCTCTCCATGCATGGTTGCCCTGCACAACCAGAGGGTGAAAACACCAGCAACAACTCATCAGGTGGTTGCTGTAAGGACGACCGTGTCTTCAGCAAAGAGATGCTCAATTTATTCCATCTACTCTATCTTCAAGAGGACAGTTATGCATCTCCATCTTCAAATACTTTTCGTTGATGATTTGCATGTTTAGCAGCGTTGTTTACTTATAGATACCTCCGTCCGATAAGGTCGCATTCCTCAATCATTAAAGTCGACCAACAGCACACACATTCTTGATTAGAGTCCTACCTTCGACTGATTCCTTGCGCATTCCATGTCTTTATTATGGAGGATATACCCAACGCCCCTCATTTGACCGAATTTGCCAATTTCACTGCAAACGAACCGCTTTTCGGCTCAAGTCCTTCAGCCGACGGACTAGCCCCCGTCAACGGGACAAGAGCGGCTTCCCACGAAGATCGCGAGGAAGAGAGACGACTGAGCGACGATGCTCATATGTCTATTCAGGACTGCGGGTACAACTCATCGGATTCCTCAACGCAACGCTCCGCGAGCGACATAGCTGGTCATGACCTGGACGACGATGACGACTTAACTCCATTGGACTCGCGTGCATCCAGTCGCTCGTCACTCTCCTCAATCCCCGACTCGGTGCTGATCCACCCCCAAGCGAGCTGAAACCTGCGATCGCCTGCGGCGCAGATGAGCGAATCCGCCACTCCTGGGTCAATCAAGATAACCCCGGTCATGGCAGAATGGAGGCACAGTTCAAGTCCATACAAACAATCAGGCAACGGGAGGCTGCGTTCCGGAAGCCCAGTTCTGTGCGCGCAATGCAGATGCATACGGAGGATGAGGATGATGACGAGTTCCTGACTCCGCCCAAGCGGAGGGGTGGACATCGGATGTCGGATATCTCAATCCGCTCGGCGGGGTCGTCTCCGCTTAAGAGATCACCTTATTACTCGCCTACCGGGTCTACGGGGAGGCAGAAAGTTAAGAAGGAGTATCCGCTTGTTTTGCTTCACTGCACCTTGCTTCCTCCTTCGCTGCCTGTGCCAGGCTTGATTGGATACCCGGACCAGAAGATACTGAGAGAGGTGCTGCCTCCGGAGTACTGGAGGAGATGGAAGTTGCTGGAGGAGAAGGTTGGTTCCAGTGTGATTCGTGACCGGGGTGTGCTCATCTCTCACCCGGAGGATATGTATGATCTGCTTGAAGAACGATTGCTGGAGAGTCTGGAACTCCAGCGTCCGCGGCTCCATCATGGCCACTTTTTGGGACATGAGAACACGGAATCGGAGAAGGGTGACCAGTCGGCCACAGAGGATAGTGCAACTGATGATGAGCAAGGAGAAGAGTGCCCTGACTGTGGAGGACGATTCCCAAGGCACGATTCGAGTAGGAAGTGGGAGATCAAGGTCTTCGCCGCGAACGGGCTGATGAGAGCTGGTGCCTGGGCTGCAGCCTGGAAGGAGATGGAAAAGGTGGATGTCGAAGTCGGCCTTTGGCTGCCGTCTGAGATTAGGCGGGAGCTGGAAAAGCGACTTTTGGACAACGATCGCCCTAGCACCGACCTTAGGCTACGGGTGCCGCAACTCAGGGAGCCCGCCACCAGCATCACGGCAGAGTTTTATGATCACTCGTCGCGCACGAATACACCTACCCCATTGATTCATGAGCCAAGATTATTTGCTCCTGAGGAGGCTGCCCGCCCCTCATCCCCTGCACCAGCAATTACAACGCCAGCGAAGGCTCCAGGCATGCCACCCCCAACATATTCTCCGGGGCCAGTGGAAGAAATCGACCTGCAAACGCTGCTCATCAACTACATCCGGGTCCTGGCTAGTGACCGTCGCAACGTGACAATTGTCCTTTTGAGTGTGCTGGCGGTATACCTTGCCCTTGGGGTCAAACCTCAAACCTCCCCTTCGCATCTTCGGCCATTTCCCGGGAATATGTTTGAGTCCATGCCTGCGCTCTCATCTACCGTTTCACTGGAGCAACATCCGACTCCGAGCTGGACGGAACAGCCGAGCTTTTCTACTTTACTCTCTTTAACGGCAGCAGAACCTGCCATGACAGCTGAAACTTCCGCCGTTGAAAAAGAAACCGTGAGGGAAGAGACCAGCTCGAAAGCTCCTCAGACTATTCCTTCAGCGGCTTCTGAGTCTGTTATTGTATCCTCCTCCAGCACTGCTGCTCCTACGCCTGAGATTGTTGCTCGAACGTCCTCCAAAACAGCATCTTCCAAGACGGAAAGTAAGACTGCTAGTTTGGATGGGATCGAAACGTCTCCTGCAAATCTAGATCTGGTGACAGAGCGAGCTGAACCCACGTGTCCGGCGATGAGATTAGCAAAGGATGAGATAGAGACAATCGCGGTAACGGATTTGGCGGCTGACTTCTGCGATGATGATTGATTGAATGATTTAAAAAATAATTTGACAAGATACTGATGATGGTACGACATGATGGATTCGATTCGATTTACTGCGACGCTTATGGGATCTATGTGGAGTTTGTTCCTTGATTTGTTCATCATTTGCCCCATTCAGAGCGTGCATTCAATTGTTTGTTTGAGGTTGTTTGGCATATTGGACTACAGGTTGTTGATCATTTGTCTGATATTTTATATTCACCATGTTAGAGTCAATGAAATGAATTTGATTCCATGAATAATGAGTTAGTTAATAGTATTTTTTTATTACTCCTTCTACTCTCTTAGCTAAATTAAAATGAAAATACTATCTTGATTTGAAGTCCCCCTAACCCTATCTTCTTCGAAAAGAAAGAAAAAGCCCCTTAATAAGATTTATCATTTTTTAACCTTAATTATTAACTTTAAAGATCTTAACTAACTTAGAGTATCTATAATAACCTTATATATTTCTTAAAAATTATTAGCAAAAAGATAGTAAAGCTTAAGGCTATCCTTATTTCTGTTAAAAAGGAAGAGAATAATAATAAGCTTAATCTATAGTTTGCGGGGGCTTGTAGGGGGTTCTGGACGCTGTGAGTGGGGATGATACTGTCTCTTAGTTGTTGACTTGTTGTATTCATTTTGTCGTCTAGAGTGTGATTATAAATATGAAATCAATTGAGATTAAGTATGCTAGGGTAGAGCTAGTACTGCACAGATGTTGTGAAAAGTTTGCAAACTACGCACCAGCAGCGGCCACCAACTCCCCAAACCGACTCCCAGGGGCCCCTTTCAGGGCCGCCGGATCCCCAACCTCCACTACCTCCCCGCGATCCATCACCACCACCCGATTGAAGTCCATGATCATCTCCAGCCGATGACTCACCGCGATGATCGTGTAGTGTCTGAACTCCGCCCGAATGATCTCCTGCATCATCCGCTCGGTTTCCCGGTCCACGCTGGAGCTGACTTCGTCGAGGAGGAGGATCCCCCCTTGATCTTGACTGTCGGACCCTTCCTCGGGGGAGGAAGACGTTGAACGCAGGCGGATCCTAGCACGGAGCACCGCCCGCCCCAGCGAGAAGAGCTGCCTCTGCCCGGCACTCAAGGTCCCCGCCGTGACGGGCGCATGCAGCCCCTCCGCCCGTTCCTGGACGAACCCCCACAGCCGGACCGCTTTAAGGACCCGCTGGCACTCCGCCGGGGTCGCGGTGTTGGTCGGGTCGAGGTTGGCGCGGAAGGACGAGCCGTCGGGTAGGAAGACGGGGTCCTGGGGAACGGCGATGAGGCGTTGGCGGAGGGTCGCGCGGTCGATGCGGTGCAGCGGGATGTTGTCGATCAAGACCGGAGGTTCCTCGTCATGATTGTTGTCGGTTGAGGGCAACGGATCGAGGAGTTTCAGCAGGAGAGCGAGGAAGCTGGATTTGCCGCTGCCGGTGCGGCCGCAGATGGCGACCTTTTCCCCCGGGTGGATGGTTAGAGTGATGTTCTTGAGGGCTAGGAGCGGCTTCGTGGCGCCAGAGACGACGGAGTTAGAGTCGGACTCAGAGTCGGATTCAGACACGGTGCTGGATTGGTACCGGGCGGATACACCGCGCAACTCGACCAGCCCGCGATCCGGCCAGTTCATGTCCGGGACAATGTCCTCCTCTCCGGGACCGTCGCGGTTCTCCGGCGTGACGGTCTCGTTGAAGGTTTTCAGCCTCGCGATCGCGCCGATGGAGGTCTCAAGTCTGGTATAGTAAATCACGATCCCGGAGAGGCTCTCGCCGAAGGTCATCAGCGAGTACAGTGATGCACCGGCGAAGGCCGAGTTCGAATGCAGCCGGACGGCCAGCGTCGTCAGGACCGCCGCGATGACCATCACGACGAGGTTAAGGACCAGGTTCAGCCACTCCTGGATCATGAGGAGGAGATACGCCGCGCGCTGGCTGGAGTCCACTAGACGGGCGTTCTTGTGTATGTCATCCGGGATGAACCCGAAGGCGCGCAGCGTGGCAATCCCCTTGAGCGTGTCGAGGAAATGCGTGTAGAGCGGACTCTTGGCCTCCAGGTCAAGCAATCGCAGCTGCCGCGACGTGCGGAGGTAGTATTTCTGCACGAAGTAGAGCAAGGCGCCCAGGATCGGGTAGCTGATGGCCAGGTAGACGGACGAGGTGAGCATCACAACTGCTTGGCCGATCGACTGAAATACGCAAAAGAGGGTGTTGAGGGTAGCCTCGGGGAGTTCGGTGTCGATGAGGTTGAGATCCTGGGAGAAGAGGTTCGTGACCACCCCGGTGTCCGTATCCGTGAAGAAGGAGAGTGGTGCACGAATCAGGGTGCGTAAGGCTTGCTGGTGGAGATTGGCGCCAGCTTTCTTCACAGAGACGATGAAGAGCGTTATCCCCAGGAGGAGGAGGGCGATGAGGGCGCAGATCTGCAGGAGGGCATAGATCCCCGCGTAGTGGGAGTTGGAGTGCGCAGGATGGACGGACTCGCTGGCGTCACTCCAGTATGTGAGCCCTGCATTTATCAAGTCAATGATGAAATCGAATGAAAATAAAAGGCAGCGGAGACGCACAGATGGTTGGGTAATTGGTGAACAGACCCCAGAGGGCCGCAAAGAACAGACTACAAGCCGCCACAAACCCTCCCATGCTCTTGATATACAGCTTATAGACGGTGGCGTCACCGACCTGCCGGGCTGCGGCCACGGCTGGGGCAATTGGGGTGGACGATTGCGTGCTGTTAACAGTGATCGGAGGTTCGAGTTTCTTATTGCCAGCCCCAGTCTGGCCCCCGTGTTCGGCACAAGGACCAGGCTCATCGTCAGCAGTAGTATCCTCGACCTCCTGCTTTAGTCCCACCTCCAGACGCTGAACATAACCCGCACGGGTCGACAAATGGGCAAAGGTGCCCTGCTCTGCAACTCTGCCGTTTTCGAGCGTGATGATGTAGTCCGCAGCCGGGAGATGCCTGACACTATGTGTGCACAGAACCACCGTCGACCCCCGTCGTCGCAGGAGACCATCCGGTCCGAAGACCTGCCGAAAGACTTGCTCCTCGGTATCAGCATCCAGCCCGCTGAACACATCGTCCAGGATCAAAAAGTCTGAAGGTAGATATAGTGCTCGCGCAAGAGACAGACGCTGCTTCTGCCCGCCCGACAACGCTACACCATCCGACCCGATATTCGTCTGGTCTCCCTGGGGTAGGGTGGCGAGGTCGAAGCGCAGGGAAGTGGCTTCAATGACTTGGTCATACCGCTCGCGGTCAAAGGGGGTGAATCCGACGATGTTCTCTCTGATCGTACCGTTCCAGAGAAAGGCGGTTTGTTCGCAGAAACCGACGTGACGGGGGAAGTGCTCGTCATGATGCTGCCCTGGCTGAAGGGAATTTCGCCTAGTAGGGCCTTGCAAAATGTTGATTTGCCTGAGCCGACCGGACCGATGACCATCGTCAGGGACGAGGCGGGGATTTGAGTGTTGATATTGTTCAGAACGAACTTGTCTGCTTTCCATCCGAATTTTGCGTCTCGGATGACGATGCAATCCGTAGGTTTTAGGTTAACCTGTGTTGAACTCTTCTCCATACCGCAACTCTGGGCTCCGATTAGGGGCTGTCGATAGTCCTGGCGAGGCTCCAATTCCAAAAATGCCTGAATCCGACCCAAGCAGGCCAGGCCCGAAACGAGCTCTGGGATCGACTGGAAAAGCTGCGACAGCGGCTGAGTCAACAAAGTCAGGAACGAAAGACTCGTGAACATGGTCGACGCATTCAGCGTGGTCTGGGCGAAAGCGAAGGTCAGCGGTGGGCTGATCAGCTGAGGTATGTATGCGAAGACGGCGGCCATGATCATGATCCTGCGGTATCGGGCGCCAGCAGCGAGTTCGTCGACACGCAGCTGCTGCACGTACTCGGCCACGGGACCCGCGAGACCGGATATCTTGAGCGATTTCATGCTGGCGATGACGGTGGCTGTGAGCCCGACCCGTTTCTGGACCCCGGACATCCAGGATCGCTGCGAGTCGCCGGTGAAGTTGATCAGGATCCCTAAGCCAAGGAAGCAAACTACCACCACGCCCACGGGGGCAACGAACACGACCCCGAGTTGCCGATAGAGCATCCAGGCGGCGAGGCCTGCCTGGATCATGCTCGCCCACGTCTCGTGCACGAAGCGGAGACCCATTCTGATGCGCTCCATGTCGGTGCTCATGAGTGTCAGCGCAGCGCTATCATCGCCTGATCCCAGCCGGACTCTTGTGGCGGCTTTAAATGTCTCAGTGACTAGGATGGAGCGGACCATCGTCCGCAGTCGGTGGTGGCAGTACCTAGCAATCGTGTGAGTCTACTGAAAATATGCCGTAACAGCAGGGTATCCGTACCAGTACAAGGCATACGAGATTCCAATCCCCGAGTAGATGAATATGGCAGCGCCGAGTAGCCCATATCCCACATTTGGATCTGGCTCCAAACGAGACAGATACGTGACGAGACTCTCGATGAAAAGAGGTTGGCAGATGTAGAAGGCAATCAAAGCCGCCCTCGGAGGAATAGGTAGGAGTAGTTGCACCCACAATGTACGTACTAGCACCTTCAGAAGGCCGAATTTATCTCCCTTCAGCTTTGTGTAGTCCATTTTCTTCGCGAATTCCTCATGCAGGGCTTGTGCGTCGAAGGTGCTGTCGAGGGGGTAGAGGCTTTCGATTGTGAAGGTACGTCTATATCCAGCCAAGAAGAGCTTGTTCAGCCAGAAGAAGACGCCTAACGAAAATATTCCGCTCGTCTCCTCGGGGCTGTGTTTCGTTGTATCCCAGGTCACCCATCTCGCCTTTTGGCAGGCCTCTAGTAACAAGATGGCGGTCTTCAGCCCGACCGATGCACAGAATATGCTGCTGTAAACGATCTCGGAACCGTGGTCTGAGTCTGACGACAGGAACAGAGTTCTTGCTCGGGCGATATCGAGGAGAAGGGTGAGAAACAAGTAGCTGTTAAGCAGCATCGATGGTCTAGGGCTGCGGCTGTGATCCACCACACTTACCGTCAGCATGAAAAGGGCCGATATAAGCTGCAGGACGGAGGAACCGATGAACATGCGGCTAATGTGGAAGGACTCGACCGCGGCTAGTATAAGGAGTGTAAGTTCCAAGCCAGCGTAAAGTACGATGGCACCCTAAGCAGTCAGTAGGCAGAAACCGCAGTAATAGAGGAGGGCGTATATACTGTTTTGATGGATTGCAAGACAGGCGCATTCACCACAACAGGCTTGCGTATCTGTGCCAGAGTTCGCCATAGCGATGATGGAATAAACAAGACGGAGGGAATAATTGAGAAAAAAAGAGTCTCAAATTGAAGGTTGAAGTCAAATTGTTCTTGGTTGAGATGGAGCATGTTGCCCTCCCCATTAGTGAAGAGCATTTTTGAAACAGCGATTCCCGCTCTCCGAGTCCTACTCTCTGGGGCAAAAAGAGGGAAGGCAGAGTTGCAGATGGGGAGAAGCAAGAAATGGCAGTGAAGCTGCCTGATAAGTGCGGTCATTAGTGCACACGCTATTATGGGCTACAATAGGATGCAGTTCATTAAGAGTTAACCAACTATTTCCATTACCCCTGTCTACTTGTACTGGGCGTAGATTCTAGTGAAGAGGAGAGAATGGGGGAAGAGAAGAGTATACTTAAAGCCTATATAAAGGTATAAAGGAACAATAGTAGACCAGAAGTTTTGTGAACCTGTATTATCTCTAACAAACTTCAACTATTACTTATTCTTTTATAAAATCCTGACTCGTTAGGGATTGATACCGATTGAAACTTGTTAAAGATGAAATATCCTGAGTGCAATAAAAACAATATCACTACCTACCTTAGTAGGAGAACCCATTATGGACCGTTACTGTGGTGCCTGAGCTCCCCGCAACCATGTCTCGACCTGTCATGGTTTAATATAGTACGTACCTTATCGGTTAGACTCGATAAGATTTGATTTCACCATTGTTGGCCACGGAAAAGGCACGGACACGGCTAGTATTTATCTGCAAAGCGGCGCAGTCATGCCAGAATAAGAACAAGTCGGCTAGTATCGGAAACAGTGTCACTCATTGCTTTTGCTGTGGAAGATTGGTGGAACAGTAGCTCACTTCTATCCTTCTGCTTTATTCAGTAAGCTTAATTTATAGCTGCTTAAGAAACTTAACCCTCTCTCATCTAATGTCGTAAAATTATGTTTATCACAAGCTGACCTCAGCTGCGGATTACATTAGGTGCGGTACTTTACACATTTTGTGCTTTGTATACTACAAGAGTCTCACCCTTATCCAGAGCGGTTTGTTTAAATATATCCAATCTAGAGTCTTGGCACTAGCTAGATATTAGTGTAATGTCCATGCTCTTGGTTTCTTTCCGGAGTGCTAATGCTAAGGTAAACTGTTTTGGTGGTTACAGGTCGGCTGTGGTCACTTTTTAAGTCCGGCGTGTTGAAGCTGCTTAATAAGCCCTTGGCAGTCATGTGACTCTCGCATAACATCAAAATTTTATTCTCAACTCGCACCACCTCTTTCAAAACCTTTACCTTTATCTTTACCTTTACCTTTACCACCACCTCTTTCGACATGGCTACTCTTACTTCAAATGTCAGTATTACTACTTATTAACTAATTAAATAGTGGTTAGGATTAGAGAATCAACCACTTTTAAAGTATTTAATAACTGGTTCCTAACTAGTTAGTAACTGATTAAGAACCACTTCTCATAGAAAGGGTTTATATACTTCTATTTCTTGGTCGGCGTTCTCCTATCTAAAGAGGTCATCATTAAGACAAATACTAGGCTTAGTAGGTTCCATCTTTAAACTGCTTAAAAACCAGTTCCTAAGTACTTAAGGAAAATACTGATATGTAAAATGAATTCCAGCTACTAACGTAATCGGTAAGCGAGCGGATCACGCAACCAAGCGGATCACCAAACGCGTTTTGACTTCCATTTCAAAAGCTGCAGTATTCAGCCAGCCACCATGCCACCAAAAGCGCGTACAAACTTGAAAAATTCAGTTGAGCAGGAGGGAAGGATCCTACTTGCAGTATCAGCTTTGAAAAAGAAGGAAATCCTCAATATTCGTGAAGCTGCGCGTGTCTATAATGTGCCTTATACTACCCTCCAGCGGCGCCTAAAGGGGCATACTTTTCGAGCTGAATTACACGCAAATGGCCATAAAATGACTCAGAATGAAGAGGAATCACTTATTAGATGGATTCTGTCTATGGATCAACGTGGAGCAGCTCCCCAACCATCCCATGTGCAAGAAATGGCAAATATCCTGCTTGCGCAGCATGGTTTAACTCCTACCCAGACTATTAGAGAGAAATGGGTATATAACTTCATTAGTCAGCATGATGAGATTAAAACCCATTTCTCTAGGCGCTATAATCACCAGCGTGCTAAATGCGAAGACCTAAAGATCATCCAGGAATGGTTCAATTATGTCCAGATCACAATAATGCAGTATGGGATTGCACCTGAAGATATCTACAACTTTGATGAAACTGGCTTCGTAATGGGCTTAGTAGCTACTGCTAAGGTAGTTACAAGAGCTGAGATGCTTAGTCAGCTATTTCTTATCCAGCCAGGGAACCGTGAATGGGTTACATCTATAGAGTATATTAACTCTACTGGATGGGTGCTTCCGCCATGCATTATCTTCAAAGGAAAGGTCCATATTGAGGGCTGGTATCAAGATCAAGCCTTACCAGCAGACTAGCGGATTGAGGTCAGTGAGAATGGATGGACAACTAATCAGATTGGATTATGGTGGCTTCAAAAAGTCTTTATTCCTACTACTACTAGTTGAATGGCTGGTAGATATCGACTCTTGATTCTTGATGGCCATGGAAGCTATCTAACACCTTAATTTGATCATATCTGCAGTGAGAATAATATTATTCCACTCTGTATGCCTGCACATTCATCACATCTTCTTCAGCCTCTAGATGTTGGCTGTTTCTCTCCTCTAAAGCGCGCGTATGGTCGCTTAATTGAGGAGAAGACGCGAGTCGGTTTCAACCATATTGACAAGCTTGACTTCCTTGAGACCTATCCGCAGGCCCGTACAGCAATCTTTTCATCAGATAATATCAAAAGCGGCTTCTCAGCAACTGGATTAATACCACTGAATCCAGATCGAGTGCTCAGTCAGCTTAATATCTAGCTTAGAACCCCTACACCACCAGGCAGCTGATCAACAGATTCCGCCCCAAAAACCCCTTATAATCTTAAGCAGTTGAAGAAGCAGGAAAGTACGCTTAAGAAGCTACTCAGGGAGTGTATATACAGCCCTCCTACCCCTACTAAGGCTGCGCTAGATCAGCTTATCAAGGGGTGTGAGATGGCAATGAATAATGCCATCCTTCTTGCAAAGGAAAATCATGATCTACATGCTGCACATGAGAAGCAGGTCCAAAATCGGAAGCGATCTAGGAGGCAGATAGAAGCCGCAGAGGGATTCTCTATCCAGGAAGGGCAGGAGTTCATTCAGCGCAGGAATCAGGCTGCTGAAGCTATCCCATCTATTACTTCAGAGCAGGCAGTAGATGCAGAACAACGCCCTCAACGGGCACCCCCACGCTGCAGTGACTGCCATATTCTAGGCCATAAGCGATTGCAATGTCCGCAGCGCAAGAATAACTAGATTTAGTAATATGATCATGTTTTAGGGGTTCAAAATAGCCTCCAATTTCGGCCGCGGCCAAATTCTATGGTTTGGTGATCCGCTCGGTTGCGTGATCCGCTCGCTTACCGATTACGTTAATGTAAAGTATTAAATAGGTCGCGCGAGATTAAGCTGCTGAGTAATTGGCTTGGCAGTCACGTGTTGGGGGTAAGGCTCATATGAGCTTTCAGAACAGCTCAAGTGACCTATGTACACTTTGTTAACTTAACTGAGCCCTATAGACTGCTTAGTCATCGAGTCACCGCCATCCGTCGGAACCGCAAAGTATCCATAGGATGACTCGCCATCACAACAACTCTAGTCCAGTGCAACTCTTTCCCTCTGCCTGCACTTCCCTCAGAAAGCCTTTCACACTCGATTTATAATTAGCGCTCAAAATGGGAGGAAAGAAAGCCGGCGGAGAAAACTCCAAGAAAGCAGCCGGACAGGCTCGTGTATGTCTCTCAACCCAACCCCGCCCCCGCCTTTTTTCTGCCATCGCCACGAGCATGTTTTCTCTATACCAGGTTAAGGAGTCTTGAGACTGACGATCCACGATATGCATACAGAAAGCCGAAGCCGCCGCAAACAAGAAGGCAGCCGAAGACGCCAAGCGAGCCGCCGAGGAGGAGAAGGAGTGGCAGAAGGGCGCAAAGGCCAACTCGAAGAAGTGAGCGACATCGCGTGTGACGTGTCTATTGATCACAGGTGATGGATAAGTATCGGCTTGCTAACCGTTATCTACAAAAAATATAGGGAAGACGCCGAAGCCAAGAAAGCCGAAGCCGCTCGCAAGAAGGCCGAGCGAGAGGCCCTCCTCGCCGCCGAAGAAGCCTCGCAACCCTCCAAGCCCAAGGGCGCCGGCGCCAAGCAAGCACAGAAGAAGACTCGCGGTCTGGATCTGTCACAGCTGGACGAGGAGCCCGCCAGCCGCAAGGGCGCTGCGCTCAACGCCTCGGGTATCGATAATGCACTGGATGCGTTGTCCCTGACCGGCAAGGAATCGTCGAAGGTCGACCGTCACCCGGAGCGCCGGTACAAAGCGGCGTATGCGGCGTATGAGGCGCGCCGGTTGCCGGAGATCGAAAAGGAGAACCCCGGGTTGCGGAGGAATCAGCGCGTGGAGCTCTGCAAGAAGGAGTTTGACAAGAGCGAGGAGAACCCGTTCAACCAGGTGCATGTGGCCTTTGACGCTAGTCGGGAAGAGATTGCTGCTGCTAAGGAGGCCGAGAGAAGGAAAGTGGAGGCGAGACTGGCTAGTAAATAAGCTGGTCATCTTTCTCACATCCCTTCACTTTCTCAACCCTTCCGTCCGCTCTTGCGGCTCGTTGCCGAACATCGCTGAGCAGCATGCGCATATTTCCAGGATGCGACTCTCGGCTTTACCACCTATACCCGGGCCTCGTACCCAAAAATGGATAGATTATGGCTATAACGTGATGATGATTGTGGAAGTGGCTTGAGCTTGGACTGCAAACAGCAGCTTTGACGATATTTGGCGAGTCATGTCTTGAAATAGAACGTCTTGCATATCATGTATCTCGATCATTACATTATCAGATAGAACTCATGGCTTGACTTGATGGAAACAAAATGCCAGAGATATTTTGTTGACACAGGACGTTTACATATTCGTGTAATCTCTTTGGGAAGGTGGGAATGCTGTCCCGCAGGCATGTCATAATGGTATCTTGTGGTAATCTAAATAACCCAATACAGGAGAGGTAGAAGGGAAGAAACGACAGATCACAGCATCTTTATCCCATCACCGCTCGCACATCCCATACATACAGGCTCTCATCCCACCCTACGCTCGCGCACCATCCTTCACTGCCAAAAAGACACCAATCAACACCTGTGACAAACTCGGTATGCCGATTCATACGCCCCAGCTCCATGCCCATTACCGGGCCGCCAGGACCGCCACGCATGGGGTCGGCATCCCCCATAGGTCCTGCAGTGGTCTGATCGCTCCATGCGCGACAGGTCATATCGTAGCTACCGCTGAGTAATATATTGGAAAGGTGTGGCGACCAGGCCACTTTCCGGACCGCGTATTCGTGTCCCGTCATCACCGCCTGAGGCCCCTGCTGTGGGGCACGGATGTCGAAGGTCCGGATGGTGCGGTCGACCCCTGCGGTCGCTAAGATGGACGGTCGGTATTTGTTCCAATCATGGGTGAGAGCTTCGGCTGGAGCGCATGCGGCAGGAGGAACACCGGCTTTACCGGGAATGGGCGATGCCGGTGCGGCATGGATGGGGATCTGGAGGGTGAGGTGGTTAGATGCGGAGGCGGGCGTGCGAAGATCGAAGATGCGGACGTATGAGTCGGAGGTGACGCAGGAGAGTATATCGGGAGAATGAGGCGAAAATGCCGCCGAGTAGGTGCAGCTATGTGTGGGGAGGGTGAATAGAGAATGCGGCCGATGCGGCGACCAGACGCGGACGGTGCCGTCCCAACTGCTTGAGCAGAATGTATCCTTGGCTACGAGATTCCAGTGGACACTGAAGACCTCGCGATTATGTTCTTTCCAGTTCTGGATGGGGTAGTCTTCCAAATTGCAGTCGAAGAGCTTAATGCTGCCATCGCCGGAGGCTGTGAGGACTTGATTCTCGTGGATTTCGGACCAGGCGAGGTCGTATAGAGAATCCTGTGTAGTAAACCTGGTGGCTTTGTCAATATAGGTTCCGGTTGCGAATAAGTCAACAATGAGACACACCATTTGGCAGGTACGATGCCATTCGGCGTCAGCTCTAGAATGAACAGCCGGCCATTTCCTACCAGCCCAAAATTGGCCGACGCGGCGACGGCCAACCGGTTGTCGAAGAACGGGGAGTACTTGACCGCACAGCCGTTGTAGCCCTCGGTGCGGAAATGAAGCATAGTGGAAAATGAAGGGTATAGTATTTGAAAAGAAGAATCAAAATAAACCGAAGAAAGGACTGGTCATGAGGGTATCATTATGATTGCAGCAGAATACTGAAGGGATGAAGTTGAAGATTGCGGGGAGAATCGCATGCGAAGAACCGAGGTCTGATGGGAAACTAATTTAGTGAGGAACAAGGCAGATCCCACCATCGTCATTGCTTGATGTTTTAGTCACCAGCTGCAAAAACGGCTTCAGGACAGAAGTTATCGTTTAATCTACGCCAATAAACAAATGTTTGCTTCAAATGACTGTCCGTCTGTTGTCGCGCACTGTTCGTCCTCCTCGTCGATGTCACTCTGACGACAATGACCGAGAGTCGGCAGAAGCTTCACTTCAGTCACATACTGACTGATCGATGAATACTGGCCACCATTTGAGAATGCTAATCTACAAGCATTGATACATCCAGTGGCTAGCTTCGAAAATGACAGAACCTGAGCATTGGCACTCTCCTGCCAATATGTTTCTCCAGAAAGAGGTCTATCGCCTCGGGTCAGAGCCCGGACTCCGATCCCTTCCTCCTGGCCCCGAACGCGATTTCCTCACCCTCACCTGGGGTCCCATCGTCTATCGCACTACATATGCGCCAGCCTCACAACGGCTGATACCGATATTCCTTCGAGCGCTCAACGAAGAAATCCAGAAAGCCCTGTCGAGATGTCTACCAGGAAGCCCGGAACAGATCCGTCTACTTGAAACAACATACGCCTCTAAGGTGTTCAACTCTCAGGAGGAATACCACGGAGTCGACGAGGAGACTGTCCGGGAAGCCTTTCATGATTGGAAAGTAGCTCTAGCGTTGCCCGCGATAGAACTCCCTGTCCGATTGCGGATGTGCCTGATGATAGATGATGGAGTGCTGTCGCATCTCACAACGACCGTGGATATGTCGTCCATGGTGGAGAAGGATGCGGACTACTCCAGTTGCCCGGTCAAGGTCATAGAGGAGAACTTTCCTGATGTACATCGCCGTGACTCAAAACCAACAAAAGAAGATTATCCTGGCTGGACAAAAGTGGCATTGTCGGCACTTGTGGAGTTATACGATGGTCTGCGGCGGGGTAAAAGCCTGGAAGACTATCATAGATCTGGTCAGGTCTACTTGGGTAACGGTAACTGGAGTTAAGGCATGCAAATGTGATAGTGTATATCGAGCTTGCTAGAGAACTCTATAAATGGCAAATAATTAGATGCTGTTCGAAAAAGCATTCTGATTGGTCATATCGGAAGTAATCACGTGCCGTTATACGAATTAGTCATGTTTGTGGCTTCATCATCTTCGCCTTCTACAGTACCAGGACATAATCTTTGGGCTCATTCTGAAATCAGATGGCTGTCGAATGGATCGCTTCATCTCGAGAAAGCGGCCTCGGCTGAGTCCGTTGGCTACGCAGCAGACGCTGCCCCCTGATGAGGATTCCACTGATATGAAGTTGGCGATGCTCCTATCACTCTTTCCAGACATAGAACAAGATGCTTTACTGGACATTCTCATTTCAAGTGGCGGGTCGGTTGAAGACGCGTCTGCCGTGATCACTGCTCAACGCGCATATAGACCAGTCAAAAAGAGAACAGGTGGTGTATCAGCGATCCAGACGTCTATGACCTCACATATCACAACCGAGGCAGGATTGCCACCGAAAAGGCAACTCACCCGGAAAGGAAAGACGTTACATCTTTTCTCTCCTGAAGACGTTGCTGCTCATACTCCGTGTACCATCATCCACAACTTCTTGGCCCCAGATGAAGCAGATGCGCTGCTACTGGAACTTCTGGATGAGTCGAAGCACTTTTCAAGGTACAGGTTTCAGCTGTTTGATCGTACAGTTGAAAGCCCGCACACGAGCAGCTTGTATGTTGCTACTCCTGAGGAAATTCGCCAACAAACATTGGAATACACCTATGGAGGCAGATACCGTTCGAATGTGCGCCAGCTTACGCCGTACTTGCGCGCCGTATCTGTCAAAGTTCAGCGCGCAGTGAACGACGAGGTCCAGAAGCGTATACAAACGTTCTACCCAGATGGGAAAAAGCTCAAGTATCAGTCGCCTAAGGAATGGGTGCCTAACGCCGCATTCGTCAACTGCTATGATGGTCCAGCAGAAAGTGTCGGCTATCACTCAGATGAGCTGACTTACCTTGGCCCGCGAGCTATTATTGGGAGCCTGAGCTTAGGCGTGGAAAGAGAGTTCCGGGTGCGACGCATTGTGGCGAGCGATGACGATGTAGAGAACGATAGTGAGGTGTCAGCCATGGGGTCGACGGCGGATTCTCCGCCCAGAGGGAAAACCACATCGAAAGGGATCGATGGTCGCGCTGATGCACAGGGTCAAATCTCCATACACCTTCCACACAATTCTCTCCTTGTGATGCATGCCGAGATGCAGGAAGAATGGAAACATGCTATTGTACCCGCGCAGACTGTTTCACCACATCCCTTGTCAGGTAACCGGCGTATCAATATCACCTATCGATGGTATCGGGATTCTCTCCACCCGCGTAACATTCCGCGGTGCCGTTGTGGCACACACGCAATTCTGCGATGTGTGCAACGCAAACGTGAGAACAAGGGTAGATATATGTGGATGTGCTATGCGGGATATGAACCAGGGAAGAAAGGTTGCACTTTTTTCCAGTGGGCCGAATTTGATGACGATGGTGAACCTCTCTGGGAAATTAAGCCCACGGAAGGCGGAGCTCCCACGTTGCGCAACTTCACCGAAGACGACAAACAATGAACAAGCGGAACGCATTGCAGTACTCAGAGTAGTCTGAAATGCGAGTCTAGACCCTTTTCTGGTCTCGACGCATACAATGTCCCCAGTGTGTGCTTACTATGCGGTGTCACGAAGGGTTCGTGCATTGTGAGGTTCCATCGACCGTGAGCAATGCAGCTTCGCTTCAGCAGAGAATGTGAGCTTGAAAGGTATAAATTCTCTCGAGATTCTGAACGATCTCTGTCTTCACAACACAATCAACAACTCTGGCTCAATATGGGACTTACTTTGATACTCATTGCTCAAATTCTTCTCCTAGGTGCAGCCAACTCGGCTGTCGTCAAGAGATGGCCCTCTAGCGTCTCTCCGACTGGCCCAACCCACCCAAGCGTTGCGAAAAATTGCGGCTATTGGGTTAATAATGTTGCAAAGAATGACCAGTGTGCTGACCTAGAGGGTTACTTCGACATTTCAAGGGAAGAGCTGGTGAACTGGGTAAGTGCTGGACCACACATGTGCCAGTTCACGATTCTGACGGCAAGTTTAAGAACCCTTCTCTCAAGGAGAGCTGTCGCCTTCAGAGTGGCCATTCCTACTGTGTTGCTGCATCAGATTTGACGGTGCGGTCGGCCGATTCTGCCGAAGAAGCGAGTCGTATGGACATGGCAACTGTAGTTGAGGCTGCCGATCTACCCTCTCCGACGCAGGGCGGCTTGGCTGCCAACTGCAATGCTTTCTACAAAGTTAAAACGGGGGACAGTTGCTGGTCCATCATAAACGATTTCGGTAACTTTTCGATCTACGACTTCTACCGCTGGAACCCGTAAGTCCGTTCGACCACTCAGGCGATAATCCCTGTTGACAATGATGAACAAGGTCGGTTGGCCACTCTTGCGAGGCCCTATACCCCGACTACTACGTGTGCATCGGCGTTCAGGAAGAGGAACCCCCAGTGGCTACGCCCACGAACCCCCCTGGGCCGGTGCTGTCAGGTACTCCAGCAAACTGTGAGTGCGAATTGAGCCCAGCAATGATGTCTTTCTGCGGACTGCTCTGACAAGCCTGTTCTCCGCAGGCAATAAGTATCACAAGGTGATGTCAGGTGACAACTGCTGGGCGATTGCAAATCAATATGGAATATCTGTGGACCAATTCTACTCGTGGAACCCCGCTGTGAAGCCGACTTCATGCCAATCTCTATTGCCAGATTACTACGTCTGCGTCGGTGTCGCTGGTATGTTGCTTTCCCGCAGCCACTATTCACCTCGTCTGGCGATGTACTTGTTATCTGACTGAATCAGAAACCCCGTCCGCCACACCCACCCCACAGCCGACACCACAACCAACACCACAACCGCAGCAGTCTCCGTCTCCCGATCAGCCAATGCCACAACCCATCCTTTCCAGGCTGCTCAGAATCCTGCTCTAGGAATTGCCGGCGTCCGGGACTCATGGGGCCGTCCGATTCCGCTGAGGGCGAGCCTGAGATATGACAATAGTAATCACCCTGGATCGCAACAGTGTCTGGTGATCTTCCATGCCTCCCCCATGCTTGGTTTTGGATACAGCTTGGGCTGCGGTATAGTGCAGTGTCTACTTTCCTTCCAGTAATTTGATATTGCTTGCAGTTGTTCTATCATGCGTTAATAACCTCATCTGGATGAGAAATTACTATTTACTATCATTATACGTAAATTCCTGAAGAGATAGGACCTCAACTTACCCCATTAGTAGATAGTGCGTACTGGTAAGAGGAAATAGCAAACTTGACTCTAAAAAGCTACCCTATAGCTGCCCCGAAATCCATGTGGCTGAAACTGGGACTCGTGAACACTATTAGGCTAACTGTTGGGAAGGGAAGGCCATGGGAATTCCCTAATGTGTCTAGTGATGGAAGGGAAATCGCAAAGGACACCAAAACCTGAATTTACAGGGAATATACCCCGAAGCCCTACCTTTATAAATCAAATTTCGGAATCCCAGAGGATTTCCCTTCCTATTCTAATATTATCCTATGGGAATCCCACCGCTATAGGCTATCTGTTAAATAAATGGGAATCCCTAATTCATATAGGAATCCGAATCCCGTATAAATTTTGCCATCCTATATTTACTACAGGATTAGGAGCCCCGTCCCAACCAGTTGGCTAGGGATATCCCATGGGATTTCCCTTCCACGCAGCCAGCCTGGACAGTAGATACTATGTCACTACAGTATAGTTAGCATATATAAGTAGTCATGAACGCACGATGAATGGAGCTTCGACATGCAACGGCTTGTGTCTTGATAACAGGAAAATTTCTAAGCATGTCCTGGATCTGGATGCGAGCCCAATGTGCCTCTGCTTTCATGGCTGGCCTGTTTTCCAACATGAGCTCGTGTATCCCGGTCTTTTACACCGTCACATCCGCCCCAAGATGTCAAGACCGAGTTATGTACAGGTGGTGGGTGGCTGCCGGCTTTTGCATGTCATGTATTGAATACATATCTATCACAGAAGGTGGGGGTTTTTATGCAGGGTGAATATATATATCCCCGAAGCCGTAGCTCTTGATCTCTACCTCCGGCCTGACCAGAACAAAATACTCAAGGCTGTTCTAAATTGAGTAGGTTTACTTAAGTCATGGATGTATGTGAAGAAAGGAGAGGATTATTGAAGAGTATTTGACAGTTAGAGAAATAACAGTTGTAACTGCGGAAATTTAACTAGCCAGTTTGTCTTATGGATGATAATTTGAAGTAGAATTACATAACAAAAGCGTTAGTGGTGTAGCGGTTAGCATTATTGCCTTCCAAGCAATAGATCTGGGTTCGACTCCCAGCTAACGCATTCTTTTGACATTCTCTCTTTTTGCCTCGCACGTTTTTCATACCACTTCTCATCATTTTCTATTGGTTAAATTCGCTTGCAACATCTAGATATCTACATTCAATTGACAGACATGAGTCTATGCCAGTTCACTGCGAGGTCGAGGTGATACCTGAACCCAGCTGGTTAGAGCGGATCTCTGAAATCATTGGTGATGCTTGGGTCAAGCTCACAGGGCGTATCATGGAGGGCTCATTTGCTATTGTACTAGTGAAACTATGAACTGGCTGTTACCAACCGGATAACGAACAGAGAGAGGGGAGCACGAACAAAATGATATTACGGAATATATTTCTCGAGTCTATCTAGGACGGCTCCATACGACAGCCTCTCCATCTCAGAGTGGGAGAAACTACAGAATACGAGAGAAGGTAACCTGCTGCCTAACCCAACTGCAATTCAAAGTCCGCGACGCCTTGTCGATATCAGTTCGAATATCTCCTCTCTGTGACCAGTATCAGCGAGTAATCCACCACATACTGTATGATGTCTTCGCTCCATTCTGAATGGACTGCGTTTCTCGCGCAGAATCCCACAGTCAGCCATGATGACGACAGCAGAAACGGGCGCTTCCTCTCTTCCCCAGAAGGTCGCGTCCTTGCCGAACAAGTATCAAGTGTTGACACGACTGTCCCTGCCAGGGACAATCATCTGATCCCGATTCGGATTTACACTCCCAAAGACCACCCATCCGATGCAGTCGTCATATTCTACCACTCTGGAGGCTTCGTGCAAGGCTCTCTCGACACGGAAGATAGTATGTGACCTACTCTCACCTATGGGGAAAATAACTGACGGAGACAAGTCTCGTGCAGGCACATGGCACTAGGTGGACCCAACACTGTCATCAGCGTCGACTATCGGCTCAGCCCGGCGCATCAGTATCCTATCCCTATCAACGACGGATGGGACGCGTTTGAGCACATTGTCACTAACATCTCCACCCTCCTGCCGAAGCACGGCACTTCTGTCAGGGTAGTGGTCAGCGGGACGTCATCAGGCGGACAGCTCGCCGCCATTGTCTCGCAGAAGGCGAGAGACTGGATGCGAGATCCAACAAAGACAACTGCTGCTGCAGGCGTCACTATTAGTGGAGTCCTGCTCCGCGCTCCGGTGACTGTACGCGGCACGGATGCGGCGCTGATCCCGCCGTATTTCAGGGATTTGCACCGGTCCTGGACTGAGGAGCTGGAGACGAAGCTTGATAGGCAAGGCATGGCGGAGAATCATGGTTCGTTTAGAACACAAGTCGGTTGATCTGGCTGTTAACATTTCTCCAGATCTGCTTGGGGTCCCGTGGGCAGAGAGAGCACATCCCGAGGCTTATCCTCTCTGGGGCCGATTTGACGGGCTGCCAAAGACGTACGTCCAGATCTGTGATGTCGATGTCCTCCGCGATGACGCAGTGTGCTATGTGCGAGGTCTCCAGGACGCAGGCGTTGAAGTGCGGGTCTCATTCTACCAGGTATTCTTGCTCGATAGTTGTTCTGAGAAGAAATGGTCTGACAGTCTTAGTCGCTGCCGCATATTTTCTGGGTATATGCGCCTCAGTTGGAGGTGTCGAGACAGGCGCAAGATGACTGTGTCAATGGTTTGAGATGGCTGTTAAGGTCGACTGAGTAGCGGCCGAGCCGTCTGATACTATGGTAAGCAAAGGGTGACTATGTTTGCGTCTTGAAAATCCGAGTCTAGCAACCTGTCGATCTAACCTAGTATAAATAGAAAGGATGATATCGGCAAGAATAGTACAAAAAACCCTACGAAATTTCTGTAGACTGGTAGATTAGTCACGGTAGGATCTAGCAATATCTATAATTAGTCGGTTCTTGTACATCCTGCCAGGTTGATGTCTGTGGCTGTCTGTGCGATCTCTGGTCCTTTAGAATGGGCCCACTTGAAGGGATGATAATCAAGCTTCTTACTCTTAATGCATATCCAGTCCTCTATAGAATTCTGACATGCAGAGTAGTGTGCGACCGTATTCTATTGTTACTTGAAATTACGTCGTACCCAATGACTAATGAGCATAATTGTTACCTATTGAATGTCAGGATACTCTTCCAGACCGCTCTTTCATTGGTGTTTCAGGGCTACGTACCTTCTTAGACCCGGATCATCCTTGATCCACCTGTGCTGATCGCCTTGCTAGGTAAGGTTGTCCCCGAAGTGTACCAGTTAGATATCTATTCTGTAGCACCTCCCGAGACTACACTCTAAGTACACATTTATTAGCCTATTGTGCCGATTTTTTAGGCCTGTTGCCTGAAAAGGAAATGATGTGCCCGGCCAATTCGGGGGCCGGAATTGTCGGATGGAACCGTCATTTTGTTCATCCTGCAATTCGGTCGTAGGTGCTGGCCAGGGCGACAGGCCTAGCTTGAAAGATCGTTGGCTAGGTGTCGGAAGAGGACGCCACTTACGGGACCCTGGGATATATATAACCGCGGCACGGATGCACACGCCGAGTGGGTGGTCCACAACGGAGCCGGTGCTTGTTTCGACTTGATAAGCTGATAGGCGAATACTCGGACCAATGCTAGAATTTTCTGCCTTGCTTGCTTGGCCTTGACAACAACTGCTTCACTAAGGCGAATGGCGGGTCGATCGGGTTGTCTTAGCCCGTATCTTGTAGCCACTACACCGTACAGTCCTGCTCATTGGGCTTGAAGGCTGTTCAAGTCCCACCAGCGATACAGCATCGCGATCGGGCCCTCTCCAAAATGTAATCTGGCTCATACTATTAGTCGAGGTGGGTTAACACGACGATGCATGAGAGGTGATACGATGTATTGGATGGGTAACATGATAATCGATGCTTTTTTCGAGGAAAAAGATACACTGCCTGGTATAGAAGTTCTTGCTGCCTATGACTATGCCACATGACAAGGATGTACCTTTACTGTGTCTTTCGTAATCGTGCAGTGGCTTCTGACAGAATCTTATCGGAGTACTGATCCCTCCAGACAAGTCCAGAGGAGTCCACACACACCTACAGATTCGACTTAATATGGCCAACTAAAGGCTCCAGTTTAATAAATTTCCCAGAATAGCCACGGAAAAACCGTCCAAGTGATGTCGTGGCGCGTGGTTGGCAGCCCACTGCTACCCCACCGCTGTGGAACTGTCCTAGATGTCTCATGTCGTTTGATTATCGAGACACCAGTCTGTCGTCATTATATGGAGACTGCGAAGGGTTTTAGTGAGACAATGGCCACCTGCATACAGTGGATAGTCTGGACGCAGCCTGCTCAGCGCTGGATTACTTTTTTCCCCAGTGTTCCTGGTCTGGTGGTGTTCCAACTTTCAAGTGTCAATTTTCCCTCTGAGTTGACAGACCCCTCGTTCTTTCGTCTTTTGTTTTTTTACCATCCTTTCTTTGGCTCTTCGGCATCTCAGAGCATGATCGACTGATCCTGTTCACGACTATCGAGAGCTTGAAGGCACTTCAGAAATGTTCACGGAGACGCAGCGCTCAGTCGCTCTCATCCTGTCATTGCTGAGCGCCAGTGCACTGTGTTGGCCCTACACCGAGTCGCTCGTTGATTATAACTTGAACGAAAACAGATCGGCGGAATCGCCGATTGACTACTGGGGAGAATGGCCGAATCATAAATACCACCCTTCGCCGGACAACTGGCGTTTCCCCGTCTACACGATCTTTCTGGACCGCATCGCGAACGGTGATCCAACAAATGACGATATCAACGGTACCGCTTTTGAGCATGTACTGAACTCCAACCAGATGCGTCATGGAGGGGATCTGGTCGGGTTGATTGATACGCTGGACTATATTCGGGGCATGGGTTTCAAGGTGCGTTTGAAACCGCTTCCGTGTCTGATCTGTTGCTTACAAATGTAGGCTATCTACTTTGCTGGAACAGGCTTGATGAACCTCCCTTGGTCCTACGATGGCTACTCGCCGGTCGATACAACCCTGCTGGACATGCACCTTGGCACACTGGAGGACTGGAGACGGACCATCACCGAGATTCACAACCGTGATATGTATGTGATCATGGACAATACGCTGGCAACGTAAGTGTATGCCCCGGTCAACGTTGTATTACCACAAGCTTACATCGATGTGCAGTCTGAGCAACCTCATCGGTTTCAAAGGCCACCTCAACACCTCAGCCGATTTCCGACCAGACGAATATGAGGTTGAGTGGATCACGGATCGTCAGTATGCCGATTTTAAGTTCAGCAATGAGTACAACAAGACTTGCGACTATCCGAAATTCTGGAATGAGACTGGCTTGCCGTTGTCATCCGGCGGGGTTGAGGAATTGAAGGGTTGCTATAATAGTGATTTTGATCAGTATGGAGAACTAGAGGCATTTGGCAACTTCCCTGACTGGAAGCGCCAGCTCACCAAGTTTGCCTCGGTGCAAGATCGGCTGCGTGAATGGCACAAGCCCGTGCGTGATGTCATCACCAGGCATTACTGCATTCAAATTGCCAGTTTGGATATCGACGGTTTCCGCTATGATAAAGCTGTTCAGGCGACCCTGGAGCCCCTGGGTGAGATATCGGCGGCATTCCGCGAATGTGCAAAGAAATATGGCAAGCATAATTTCTTCATACCTGGCGAGATCACATCTGGCAATACCTTCGGCAGTCTCTACCTTGGTCGTGGGCGCCAGCTAGATCAGCGTCCTAAGTCCGCAGGTGCTGCTGTCAAGCTGAAGAACGATTCAGACACTCAATACTTCCTCAGAGAGGACGGCCACCAGGCGTTGGATGCAGCCGCGTTC